GTTCCCTGCTAGAGCCTGGCAGTACCTGAATCAGAAGCAGTGAGGCAGAAGCACAGGGAGAGACTCTTCTGCCACTTGTTAACTGATTGGATCCTTTCTCAGAGGACAAATACATCTGGGTAAAAACCAGGTGCAGCCCAGAGGGAGAAAGACACCAGTCACGTGGCTCTGGCTCGTTATGAATGTTTACCAAGGTTGAAAGGCTCAAAGAATTTTGCCATAGAGGAGAAAGAAAAACTCTCAATTGGAAGTCCCATCAAAGCATTCCTCTTTTAATCTTTAAGCAGTGTTCTATTCTCAGAGTCTTGTGTCTTTCCCCAAGCATCTCTTCTGCATCCATGAAAAGCTGTGATTCTGAGGACCACTCTGCCAAACATTCTCCTTTTAGTAATAGGCAGGCCTGAAATGAAGTCCCTCACATATGTGACCCTGCTCTTAACAACTCTAGAGGGACATTATTATCCCCATATGGCATAGAAGAAAACTAGGCTTAAAGGGGAAGGAGTTGTCCTCATCATTAAGCTAGGTTTACAACGAAATCTTGAGTCTGTGCTCTGAAACACCCAACTCAATCTCTTCTGACAAACCAAGTTAGGTCTATTCCCTTGGTGGTTCTTCCATTCCTACCAGAGCCCCTCCAGTTCTACATATGCACACTAGTCACTGCTCCCACCTCCACAGATCTCTGCCACAGAAATCCTCTTCCTAGCACATGGGTCACAGGCAAGCCTTAGCCTACTTTATCCCAAAGGTACACCAACGTTGCCCTCTACGGGAAATCCTACCTCCATCGAACAAGTTAGTACCCTGTGTCTATTCAAACTCTTGTGCCTCTTCAGAGAAATATAGAGGCTGGGTGTCAAATTCCTATTTACTCTTTAACCCTTCAAATCCCATTCTCCAATCCTGTCAGAAAGCTGCCCCTTTATAACTCCAAATTCACTCTTCTGTACCACGGTCTATTCTCAAGATAGCTGCAGATCATCTACCCTAACCTCTCCTACTCCCGTAACTGCACTTCCTTGCTGCTGCAGAGGTTTCCACTACTCCCTAAGCACTCCCATGGGTGAGGGACGGAAAATAAGTAACTGCTTTTGGGACCCGGGAGCCCCCTTCTGGAGATACTTAGCCCAGAAACACTTGTCCCACTCCACCCTGCGGCCCCTAGCCAAGTCAAGTCAACAGGTTTCCTTTCTTTTTTCACACCCTACATGTTTCTTCCTCCCACGCATCTGCTAGACCAGTCACACGCTTTTCTTGCTGGACACAAGTAATGTCCCCCACGTATTTCATCGACTTCAAATCCTGACTCCACTTGGTCACTGGTTCTATCCTCAGCTACTGCAATTAAAAAACAAAACAAAACAAAACAAAACAAAACAAAAAAAAAACCAGCAGTAGCCAAGGATCTGTGCTCAGAGCCTTCCCTGCTCTAGGTCCCCCAGATCTTTTGTCCAGCGAAACATCTTTCCCTCCCCTGTCAGGGTCCAGACATTAAAGTTCCCTGTACCTCCTCTAGAGGCCATCGAGAAGGTCCCCAGATCTCCCAGCACCAAATGCTGAAGATGCACCTGCCTCAAGGTTGGCCTTCCAGCCCTGGAAGAGAGATGTGGATTCCCCCATAGTTCAATCACATGTTGGTCTCCCCAAGCCCCTAAATCCTCACCAGTGAAACAAGAGTGTTCAGTCCACCAGACTCCCCAGCTAAGGACACACCAGCGTCTGAACTCACCAACGCACTCCAAAACCTTATCCGAGAATCCCCAGTACCCCATCCAGCCACAAACTCCAGGATCCTCCATCCTCAAAACTCTCCCACCCCTGGAACTCCCTACCCCATCATTCCTTCCCCAACCCCGGAAGAAAACAAGGCTCTCAACGTCCAGCCAATGCTGGGCTAACACGGTCACCAAACCCACCCAGCTTGAAATCTAGGCTCAGTTTCCAAGACCACCCTCCCCACTCCAAATAAAAAGCCTCTTGTTTTCCGACTTTCTCTGGTTCCAAACCCCAGTTTCCGGTCTCCAAGTCCCGGGCCCCATAACTCTTCCCACCCGCTCATACCCTGGAGCCCCCACCGTTAGTTATCTCCCCAGCATCGAAAGGCAGGACCCCTCCCCCCGCTCCGGTATTCCCGAGGCCTTAGCTCCCAAATCTTTTGCAGCGACAGGTCGCGGGACCCGGGATCCTCAGACCGGACCCCGACCTTTGGCGCCGGACTCCCGCGTCCCACAGCCCTTCCTCGGCCCAGACTCCGGGCTCCCCGGCCCCCGCCCCGCGCACTCTCACAATGTCCGTCCGGCCCCGAGTAGCCGCCGGGCTCCGGGTGCGGCTGCAGCCCGGGCGGCGGTGGCTGCGCGGTTCCCTCCAGCTCGGAGCCCCCCTCAGTCTCGACCTCCTCGTTGTTGTGCCCCGGTTCGACGTCGGCCTCGAGCTCCCGCTCGTCGTCGGGGTCCTCGGCCTCCAGCGCAGCCTGCAGCCGCTCAGCAAGCTCGGCCTTCAGGCCGCGAGTGTCCAGGCCGCGGCGCTGCAGCTCCTCGCGAAGTTCGTTCACCTTCAGACGGCGCACATCCATGGCCCGGGCCCCCGGGGCGGCCCCCGAGCCCGGCCCGGCCTCCCAGGGCTCTGTCTCCCTTAAACCTTTCCAGTCAGGAGGCAAAGGGGGAAAAGGGGGGGAACACTCCAATGGCGGCGGCGGCGACTCAAAATGGCCGCCACCTCCCCCTCTCTCGCGCACCGTACCATGTAACACGGGTGCCAATTGGCCAGCGTGGGGAACGACGGGGGAGGGATAGGAATTCAGCCAATCAGAACACGGTTTTCAAAAGGACAGTGGATAGAGGGCTTAGGAGCTACCGGAGAGGAAGCGTTAGTCTACGTCGAACCGGAGGCAGAGCGGAGGGCGGGAAAAGGCAAAAGGTGGAGCGCACCCTGATTGGGTTATGCCCGGCGCGCCGCAGCTGTAGGAGCAAATGAAGAAAAAGGAGTAATGACTTGGCCCAATCGGCGATCAGCTATCGGAATGAGCGCTCCGCAGCCTTCCCCGGGCTGTCCTTTCACCAAACGACTTTTCTCTGTAACACGCATACTGATTGGCCTAGATCTCCCGCCCCTTTTGGAGTCCCAGTAGGTAAAAGCACCAGAGCCAATCAAATGGGTAGTCGGCAGAAACTCCTCCTTCCTGTTGCAGCTAAGAAACCGGAAAGAGATGAGTTCACTGAGGGCCCGCCCCTGCCGTTAGGGCGGTTTCAAAACAATCTGTCCACCAATAGCAGTCAATGTTTTATCTCGCCAAAGTCGGTATAGATTGATGGCTGTAGGAAAAGCTAACCAGATTGGCTATTCTGCAGAGGATGGCCTCACAGATTTTGCTGTAGAGGGAGATATACGGCATAGAGATTAAGTAGATATATTACTTATAAACTGTTAGGAACCCCGCTGCCTTTATGAAAAGCAAAATTTTAACTTTATAGAGCCCTCTAGAGTTAAAAATAAAGGCTAAAAATAACGGGAAGAGAGCTGTATAGGAAGCCGTCCCCCTTTCCCTCTGGTAGTACATCTCACAGGACGGCTCTTCTCGCGGCAGTCTTTTCTCTATGGTCGGTTTTTACTGCGGACAGTGTGCTCCGCACGCGACCATAGAGCCTTCCCCTCCGAAAGAGTACCAGAAGTTCACCGATCTCCACCGTGAATCCTCTAAAATGTGTTCAGTAGACCTCGCTGCTTAGTGTCTACACCGACAGATTCCTAGTTGCATCTCACGCGAATACACACAAACGTCACAATGTCTAATGCTGCACCACCTGTCGCCTCTAACTCAGAAGACAAAACTTGAAATACACAATCGAAATACACAGTGCAGGCTTGGGAGATGGGCAGTTCAGTGGTAGAGCCCTTGTCTAGCATGCACTAGGCCCCGGGTTCCATCCAAGCACTGCAAAAAATAAAAAACAAATAAAAATAAATAATTCACAACGCAGACGCCCCCTACCTACTGAGCCACACGTTAAGGCCACATAAAAAGCCGAACACAACCTTTATTTAGACAAAGGCGCATATCACAGAAATGTAACAATAGGTGTGAATCACATCAGAATGCAAAAGTCGAGATAATACACTAAACTACGGCGAGATCAGCCCGCTAACGCCTTAACAGGCAGGCAACACCGCATAATAAAAACACGCAGGACAGTTACACTACAAGCTTACACGACCAGTAACCTAAATACACAGCATCCACTCAGCAGCGGGACAAACACTCACGTGGGCCCGGAGGTTCCAGTCCAGACACCCCGCCCCTCGTCCACGTCCGACTTCCTCTCTCCTCCCAGCTCGGCACAACGATCTGTTCTAAAAAAGTTTGTGGCCCGGATTGAACTGTACCGGGTTCCCAGGAGCCGCCACTGGGGGGCGTTCGGGCGCTGCCGAGGGTTCTTCCATCAGCTGCCGGACACACCCAGGAACAAGTGTGAAAAAGCCTGAGGGACTCCTTGTGGGTCTGTGTATTGACAGTTCCATGCCTGTTTCCGTGTGAGTCTAAACGTTTGTATGTGTGTGTGTGTGAAGACCTGTCGTACTCTATGTCTCTGTGTGTGTTACTTTATTTTGCATCCTCGTTTCTCAAGTTTCTTCCTATTCTTGTGCGTATCTGTGCATGTTTGTAAATAAATTTGTGTTTATTTCTGTTGCTTTATGAGTTCGTTTCTTTGTTCTTGTGACCAGATGTCACAAGAGCATGTAGATTAATTCATGTGTCTTGTTACTTTGCTGTGTGACGCTGCGAATATATATCTGCCTATTCTTTTTTTTTTGTTGTTCTGGGATTGAACTCATGACCTTGCACTTGCCAGGCAGGCGCGCGCATGTGCCTCTGAGCTAAATCCCTGATCTTATCTGCCTATTCTTGACTAGAGTTTTCTGAGTGTGAATTTCTTAGCTTATGGGTGTTTTTGTCTATTGGTATGTTGATTTTTACCCTCTCTAGTGAGAATTTCCAGAGCTCATCAAACCCTTTTATTAATAGGAAGCCAGTTTGCCAGGGGAAAGAGTTCATTGTGGCTGAATGGTAACAAGAGGAGACAGAATAGTGAAAGACAAAATTTTATATGACCAGAGTCCCTATAGAGGCACCAAAGTCCACATTTTGTACAGGGAGGATGAGGGACTGGCTCAAGAGGGCAGCGAGGCCCAAAGGAGGGAGATGGTCTCTTCCCTGGAGGGAAAGGAGGCATCCCTAGTTGCATTGCACAGGCTTGAGGGGGGCACAACCCCACATGAGGTGGAAAAAAAAGCATAGATGGCTAAGAAGAAACCAGTTGTAACCTTTGGGTTAGAACTGTGGATTTGTACCTACTGTTGTAAATGTGTAGAAGATTTGGATCTTAACCTTATAGTGCTTAGCACTATAATCCGATCTTTAATTATAATCCTAGAAATGCAGAGTACAGCATAGAACCTAGAGATGCCCAGCATTAGAAATGATGAGAATTTTTGTGTCTAGTTAGTCATGATTATGAGTGTCTTATAATTTAGATGCTTGGGATCTAGAATTTTGGGTCACTGGAATCTTACAGTGCCTTGAAACATAAAACAGGCCAACATTAGAATCTTAGAGTTTAATAATCTAGAGTCTTGGGGCATATGACCTAGAATTTTACAGAATCTAGGTTCTTAAATTAAGTTTTAGAATAAACATCTTAGAACATTAGACCTTAGAATCGCCATCTTTAGACTCCTAGAACTTTTGACTTGAAGATTGTAGAATCTTTCAAATCCAGGATCTCATACAAAAGGATCTGACTGTAATTAGGATTTTAAAACTTGAGAAAAAAAAATCTGAAGGCTTGTGATGAACATTCTTATAACCAGGATATGTAGACTCAGAGAGCCTTTAACCATCAAATTTTAGAACAGTAGGCTTTAGAGCCTCCATGTCTAGAATGGTAGAATCTTCAGAATTATAAAATCTAAAGTCTTTGCCCTAGGGATTCTGAACTCTAGAAAAATAAAAATCTAGACTCATGGAGTCTTAAATTCTAGAACTAGAATCTTTAGCTTTAAACCTAGACTCTTGGGCCCTTATCAAGAATTTTAGCACACCTGTGGTCCCAGCTACTTGGGAGGCTGAGGCGGAAGGTCACTTGAACCTAGGAGTCCACAGCAGCTTGGGTATGGAACCACAGCACTTTAGAATTAGGGACTGGGATTTCAGTTCCTTGGAACCAAAGATTACTAACAACTTTGATATAGACTGTTTAGGCCTTAGAATCTAGATCTGGAGGACTCTTAGAAATAGCATGCCAGTCATATCTTTGTTTTGAGACAAAGTCTCACTATATAGCTCAGGCTAGCCTACAACTGTCTATGTTGCCCTGGCTGGCCTTAAACCTGGCAGTCCTTCTGCCTCAGCCTCCTGAGTACTAGGATTGCAGGTCTGCACCACCATGCTCAGTGCAGCCACTTCTTATTATGGAGGACGATGCTGTGATGCAGAGAAGGGGAAGGCTTTGTCTGGGATGAAGGTGGGAAGGGTAGAAGATAAGGCTATAGCTGGGGACAGGCCTGGAGTGGGGAAGTTGGAGTGGGGGATGAGGTTTCCCCAGTGGCAGTGGCTAGCTTGGATCCTGAGAGGGAATCCCAGGTGGAGGGTTGTCTCAGGCTCCTTCCTCCTGCCCTGGGGGTGCTGGGGAGCCCCGGTCAGCAGACATAGTGGGGCCAGGAGCTGTAGAAGGGCAAAGGACATAGCGTCCAGCAGGATGGACCTCAGCTGCCGTGAGGCAGCTGCAGGAATCTTTAGGGTCAGGCTGGGTTGGGGGGTCAGCTCCCCCCACAGCTCCAAGGGCTTCAGGATGACCTCTGCCCTCATCCATGTTGACATAGAGGATTTCATCAGGCTCCTGGGCAGGAGGCAGGGCCTTCAGTGTATTCTCCAAGTCTTCCCGAAGCTCTGTAAAACTTGGCCGGTCTCGGGGGTTCAGCTCCCAACACCGGGACATCAGGATATACCTAAGGCAACAAAGTGAAAGGTAAGAGACTGATCAGGGGCTCAGAAGGGAGCATTCTGGCAGTTGGGAGATATTTTAGGACATTTGGAAGCTGGGGGTTGGAGGGAACCTCAAGAATTGGAGACCCTAAGGGTATTCTCAAGAGTTTCTGGGGGAGCCTTGGGAAACCCAGGAACTAGCAAGAGCTCTCTGCATCTGTGGTGCTGTTCTAACAATGATTTGTTAGAGTAGATCTTCCCAAAGTGACCTTCAGAACTAAAGCCAGCATCAAAGCTAGCATAAAGACAGGCTTTAAAATAGGTCCATAAGATTTTTGCCTTTCGTCATTATTATTTTTTTTTTTTTGAGACAGGGTCTCTGTAAATTGCCCAGGCTGGCCTTAAATTTTCAGGCCTCCTGCCTCAGTGTCCCAGGTGCCACCATGCCTGGCTAGTCCATAAAGTTGATGATGCTCCTCTATTCAAAAAATGGAGCCTAAGGTCCTTCTCTTGAGTGTGGATAGAATTTCATTTCAACAGAAGTGAAGGTGTGTGCAATTCTGAGTCTAGGTCATAAAAGGCATTACAGCTTCCTCCTCGAACTTTCTAGGTTCACCATGCTGTGGGGAAGCTCAAACAGTACTACAGAAGGGTCCATATGGTGAAGGGCCCTTGAAAGCAATCTCCCAGTCCCAGGTCTTCAGATGACTGCAGCTCAGCTGACATCTTGAACTGTCATCTCATTGGAGAACCCAAGACAGAATCACTTGACTAAATGGTTCACAGACTCCTGACTTTTTGCAACTGTATGAGCAAATAAATGTTTCTTGTGTTAAGCTACTTGATTTTGAGGTCTAGATAACTAATATAGCAACTGTCCAACCTTTGTTAATGACATCCTCCTGATAGGCCTTGATAGTGACATGAATGTATTCTTGTGCCTGTAATAAGAATCAAATTAGTTATATGCAAAGCATCTAAGAAAACTGTTTTCTAGTAAATTCTATAAAAATCAGCTGTAAATGTGGGCATGGTGGCATGCACCTGTAATCCCAGCATGCTGGGAGACTGGAGCAGCAGAACCTCAAGTTTGAGCACAGTCTGGGCAACTTAGTGACTGAGTGGGATTCTGTTTCAAAATAAAAATTAAAAGGGCTGGGGCTATTGCTCAGTGTGAAGGCTCTGGATTCAACCTTTAGTACCACAACACAACACAAAACAGCTAGCATACATATAGACCAGTATTCCTGCTTCCCTCAGACTTGTGAATACCCAAGGGGAACATGGGGAGACTAAAGCCTCAGGCTGTCTCCTCTTGACCCAAGTAACACCCTCTATCTACCCTCCAAGGGCTGGCTAAATGTCATGCCCTTTTCTACACATCGTGATACAGCAAAGGTTGATAGGCTCGTCCTAAAGGGTTCCTGCAAACAGCTCCGGAGAATCTGGAATCAAGAAAACAGACGGGAGGGTTGTGCAGAGGGTCCCCAGCGTTAAGACACATCAAGATGAAGTATGGGGTGATGGGAACGAATTACAAGTCTTCCACACTGGGGGTCCCAGAGACAGGACCATCAAGGAAGATCACGTAGTTGTTCACTACTAAAGGATAACTGGCTGAGGAGGAGGGAAAGATTTAGCCTGCAGTTCATGCAGGACAATGCAGGACAGGCTTTTGTTAGCTAATTGCACCCCACTGGCTGCCTAGGAATGGTCATATCGGGAGCCCTGGTAAAGGGGCAAGAGGGCTGCTGAACATTTTGAGGGATTCCACACAGGGTCCTGGAGATGTGAGGGCCATGTGTGGGTGCTCAGAACTTTGTGGGGTGGATTTGGGGGTGAGGAGGCAGGTTCAAAAGGTCCTCACAGGCCATCCAGACAGTCCACAGGCTGCTTCAGGCGATTCCCCTGGCGCAGGTAGTCATAAATCTCACTGTTCTCCACTCCGGGATATGGTGTTTGGCCTCGTGTGGCGATCTCCCACATTGTCACCCCAAAGGACCACTGAGAGCAGCAGAGAGGGAGAATTAGAGTCTCTCCTACACAAAGACACCTGGCCCTCACAGGTTCACATGTGCGCTCACACTCTGGTGCATATGTTCACAGCCATCACAGTAGGTACATCACAGGTGTTTGTAGAAATATTCTGACACAGGTACACACACCTATGGGTGACCTTTGTGGGTGAAGAGACATGAGTATCCAGGAATATATTCACATTCTTCAATATAGTCACATACTTCATGGCTGCTGCATACCATGTACAAGTGTGGGCACATGCATGCATGGTCCCCACAGCTTCTCCTAACCTAGACTGTGCACACTGCTACCATGTACCTGAAAGTCTGTATGCATCCCTGGTATGTACACACTGCTGTTCAAAGATGCCCACCACGTCTCCAAGTGTGCCCAGACCACATAGGTTCCTGCTCAGGGAAGCCCACATGTTCCTGGGTGCCCTGCACCTGCAGCCACCTGGGAATGATATGAGATAGGCTACTCCCACCCCCTGTAGTGCCCTGTTCTTGGTGGAGGTGCATGTACCACGTCACTTTTGCTGGTGTAGACACGGTCGGCTAGGCTCTCAATGGCGATCCACTTAACCGGCATCTTGGCAATGCGACCCTGGCGATAGTAGTCCCCATTGTAGATCTTCTTGGAGAGCCCAAAGTCTGCCACACACACGGACATGTTCTCGTTCAGCCTGTCCAGATTGGGGGAGGAATGGAATCAGGGCACTGGTAGCCTCCTCCAGCAAGTCGGCATGGGTTCTCCAACAGGCGTCTACCTCCTTCCCTCACTGTCCTGCCTGGGGCTGGGATCTGTTCCCTGTACCCTCACCCAGCCCCAGAAGGAACTGTTTTACTTCTTGTTCCGTCTGTAAAGTGAGGGTGGGACCAAGGGCTTCTAACAGCCTTCCCAGCTGTGGCTTTTTGCCAAATTCTTGAACTGTATGATATACACACACATTCTGTGTTTACTGTCTATAGGATATAAATGTGAACATTAATGTGCACAGATAATAAGTGAATTTGAATTTGCACAAACATACCCATGTGTCCTAGACCCAGATTAGGAAACACATCTTAAATGAAGGACTTTCTACAAGACTTGGCTCATCCAAAAGAATAGGTCATAAAAATATAAAAAGGTGGTGTTGTGTGGAGGCTACTCTAAATTAAAATAGCCTGAAGGGATATAACAACCAAGTGCAATTTGGAAATTCTCATTAGGTCCTAGTTTGGGGGAAATTAAATACAAAAGACAATTTGGAGTACAACTGGAAGAATCCAATGTGGGTTGGATTGTTGCACAATCTTGACTAAATTCCTCAGGTGTGATAAATGGATTGTGATAGAGCAGAAGAAAATCCTTATTCTTAGAGCTTCCTACTTAAGATTTAGGGGTGAAGTGACCACTGATTGAATCCTTGATTGGTTACTCCGGAAATCAGATGTGTTCCTATAGAAAGAACTTAAAGTCAGATTCTCAATGCACCTATCAAGAATGAAGAGAATGGATGATCTCAAACAATGACAGCAAAATTCTTCAGCTATACTGAGTTGTCAAATGTTTTTACATTGAAGGCAATAGCAGACCTAACTGCAATCTCACCCAGTTCGTAAAAATCTCAATTGTGGGATTATAGAATTCTGATGGTGATACATAAGAAAAGGTAAGCAAACAGAGGCTCTATTTTAACAATTGACAGGAACTTTTAATAGGAGGGAAGACCTACAACTTCATTTTGGTGAAATCTTCTTCACCAGAAGGCCCCCTTTTATCACATAAGGAGCCAGGTAAATTAGAAGATCTGAAAAGGTCAACTGGAGACCTTGATCTTCCATGTACTCCACAAATCTTTTTTTAATTCATTCATAATACTATCAATCTCAATAAAGGATTTCTAGTTCCTGTTAGTTAAAAATAAAGCCCTGACATATTTTTATTCTTTCAAGACAAACAAACAAACAAACAAACAAACATTTAGGGAAGAAGTATGATTTCAGTAACTTGCAAATGGCTGAGGGGAGAGAGGAAAATAGAAACGTGGCAAAATGTCAACAAGGGTGCTCAGTATATGATTCTCTCAACTTCTTTAGCATTGCAACTTCTCAAAATAAAAAGTTGACAGGAAAAAAATTTTCCATTTCCGTATTTCTGAGAGTTCTGAACACTGATGCTGTTGCAGAGAATTACTCAATTCTCTAGCTATGATTTCTATGAGTCTGACATCTCGAGACTAACAGCGGGGTGGGGGAGTACTGTGGATTGAACTTAGAATCTTTGCCTTGAGCCACATTTCCAAATATTCTTTTTTATTTTGAGACAGGATGTCACTAAAACACTAAGTTGCTCAGGGTGGGCTCAAACTAGCAATCTACCTGCCTCAGTTTCCCAGTGTGCTGGGATTACAGCTGTGTGTCGCAGAATTAATATTCTAAACTTGTGGTTCCACTCTCTGTATCTTTCCCTTATCCCTGACTCTCTCAGTAGGAGAAGGCACTCAGCACACTGCAGATAGAAATGAGACTCACATGTCACCACTGTCAGTCACTTTTGTCCCTCTGCTTACCTCTTAGTGTGCAGTGAGATATCCCCTACCCCATGCCTTCTCCCTCCACATCCAAATACTGTTTCAAGCTCTCAGTCCAGGGCCCCTTCCTCCAGAACGCTTTCCCAGACTCCCTTGCTGATCTTTCTAGCCCAGTCCCAAGTTCTGACCTCTCCTTAAGAGTCCAGCTTCCCTATCATCCTGGAAAGGAGAGAGGGATTCCAGAAGGCTTGGCACTCACATGCAGTTCCTGGCAGCCAGGTCCCGGTGTATGAATCTCTTAGTACTCAGGTACTCCATGCCACTGGCAATGTCTGTCATGAACTTTACCAGCATCTGAGTGGGCAGGAACTGAACGCCAAGGCAAGGAGGAATAAAGATCTTCAGAATCTCCAACGTCCATCCCTCCTCACTTTTTTCTTCCCCTACTGTGTTTGTCTAGCTCTGCCTGCAGTGATTTCCAGTGACTCTGAGAATTAAATCCAACCCCCTTCCATACCCTATAAGGCCTTTCTCTCTGATTAATCTCCTACCTCCCTTGCCCTTGCTATGTATCCCAGCCAGGGGCCTCCTTTTTGGTCTTCTGACAGCATGCTTGTTCTCACTTCTGCTCTTCTGCGACCCTGGCTCAGATTGTGTCCTGTCTGGGTCCCCACATCCCACCAGCTGGCTCCTCCTTCAAGGGCACCTCCTCAGTGAGGCCTTCTCTGTTCACCCAGACTAATTCCTTGTCTCCTTATCATTCATCCTGTATTTCCTTCCCAGCACTTAAATGACCTTGTTTATGTATTCATCAGCCTGGTTATTGCCTGGTTCCCTCTGCTGGAAGACAGGCTCCATGAGAACAAGTTTAGGGTCACAAGAACCTCTCCCTCACCCCCAGTCTGACAGTGCTGGGTATCTGATATATGCTCACTTAGTATTTGTGGACCTACAATGAAATGTGCCTCACCACTGGCTGGTCCCCAAGCCGAGAGTAGAGGAGGAAACTGTGTAGGTCTCCATGCTTCATGAATGGTAAGATGACCACAGGTGCTGGGAAGCCCTCTCGTTCAGAACCCTGGAAACAGACACCTGAACGCCCCCAGCCGCCAGTTCATACCCAGCTGGGCAGAAGGGGAAGCCAAGCTCCCTCCCAGCCAGACTTAGCCTCTTATCCTCCCTCCCTTTCAGATCTGACTCCCACAGAGCTGTGTGTGTGTGTGTGTGTGTGTGTGTGTGTGTGTGTGTGTGTGTGTGTGTGATGGGGGCAAGGGTGGAGCTTCAGAGAAGTCATTTCTAGCAGACTTCCCAGGGATGCTTCCGGAGCCCTCCTGGGGACCTCAGCTATTTCTGGGAATGGTCAGAGGTCACATTCCAAGTTGAGGGAGAAGAGGAGGGGGAACTTGCTGATCTTGAAGAGGGGAGCAGGGAGCCTGAACAACTGATTGATCATCCCAGTGCTATAAGGAGGGCTCTTTCCTCAGGTGTGGCCTTTGGGAATCCGTCCCCCCTCACCGATAAGCCGCATGACGTTGGGGTGGTCGAATTCCTTCATGCAGACAGCTTCACTCAGGAAGTCTTCCAGCTCTGATCTGGTGCAGATGGCAACTTGGGGGAAGGAGGAAGGTGGACAAAGAGGAAAAGAGGGGAGGGGGCTTTCCTTTTTCCTCTTCCTCTCTACCTCTGTCATCATCATTATCAAGCATGATTATTAAACTGGCCCTTGTGGCATGCACTTAAAATCCCAGCACTCTCTGTGAGGCTAACGTACCACTTAATGATTTAGTGAGACCCTGTTTTAAAATAAAAAAAACTCAGTGTAAAGGCCCCAAATTTAATCCCTGGTACTGAAAAGACAAACAAAAAGGTTAGTAAATATCAGCTGCTATACTTTAGAGCTTTACTTATATTAACTCATTTAATCACCTAAGGTGCTTCAATTATGAAGCATCAACTATTATTTCTTTCTTTCTTTTTAGTTTTCTGAGGTAAGATCTTGCTGTGTAGCTCAGGCTGGCCTTGAACTCACTATGTGGCTCAGCCTGGCCTCAAACTTGCAGCTAGATGAATAAGCAGAGTTGAATGCCAGGCCATCTGGCTCTGGGGACCATGTGCTCACTATCATGCTGGCTGCTTCCCAGCGCTTTTGGAATAGCTGGGGGCACCCAGGTGATGATTAAGATCCCATTTTACAGCTCAGGACACTGGTTCATAGGGTCGAAGTAACCTGCTTGGGGTCACATGGCTGGGCTTAAAATCTAGGCTGAGAACACAACCTGATATGCAAGGCTGTGCAGTGATGACTCCACAGCCCAAGATTAATTTTCTTTGCTTTCCTTTTTTCAGTTCTGGGAATTGGGTCCAGGGCCTTCACATTGAGCTCCATCTCCAGCTCATTTTTAGTTTTTTTTGGACAGGTTCTCGCCTCTTTGCTAAGTTGCTTAAGTTAGTTTTGAACTTGTCATCTTTCTGCTTCAGCTTCCAAGAATACTGGGATTAAAGACCTGTACCAAGTTTTTAAGTCATAGAATTCAGCAAGGGTAATTTCTGTCACCTCCAGCCTCAGCCTGAACCTCTTACGCTTCTACTTCTCTATTTAGAAAGGACTTGGCCCTGGGCTTTCCATGCTATGTGAGTCTGGACTGGCTCTCACCCTGTCTGATGATATACATAAGGTAGCAGTAGTGCACATTAACTTCATCTCCAGCATTAAGTACTTTGTCTCACAAGAGCGCTAAGAGGTAGGGACAGTATGAGCAATTTTCTTTTCCAGACAAGGGAAGGAAGGCTCAGGGAGGGAAAATCACTTGCTTGAGCTCCCAAGCAAAAGTAAAGCTTGGTAAATGAAGCCAGATGTGCCTCATTCTGGACCTACCCCTGCTCTATTATGCATCACAAGGGGTTGGCTTCTGAAAACTACATTTCCCACGACCCCCCCCCCCCATAATGGTTCCCTTTTGGACTTTGCCAATGGTAGGCAAGATGAGAGACTGACGGGTGGGAAAGAGGAAGGGAGAAACTAGGCTATTTCACTCCCTTTTTGCTTCTCCAATTGTTTTGGCATGGTTAAACATCCCTTGTGTTCTAGCTCCCATTAGGAGGTCCTAGCTTTATGTTTCTAGCTTCCATCAAATGTTCCTGGCAATGGTAGCACCACTTCCTTCCTCTTTCTGCAGGCCTAGGGCTGGCAGAGATTTCCTACTGCTGCTAGCATTTCAGGTTCACACTGTCCGGGGTGTTCCTTCAGTCCTTCCTCCACCATGACACTAATCTCTCTGTATTCAATTCGTCCATTGAAGTACCTGGCATGGGCTCCATTTCCCAGTTGGAAACACTGGCATTTTATGCTATGGCCAATTTATCACTAATTTATGCTCACCTGCCTCTCTGGGGCATAGGCAGGGGGTTTGGGTAAGGGATGGGGGTCCGCTATGTGTGTGCAAGCATGCATAGACTCACTCACTCTTCATTGTCTTCACAGCCACCTTAAGGATGGAGTCGTCCTGGTTCAGCTGGCCCTCCATCACAGCTCCAAACTCTCCTATAGAGGGCAGAAGGGAGACACTGACCTGGAGGGGTGGGCATTTCAACCATAATTCCTGTTGTTGAATGACAGTGGAGAAGGGAAAGGCTTCAGGGTTCAGGAGGATAGGTGCTGTTTGCGGGGAAACTCACCTTCCCCCAGTGTCTTCCCCAGAGCCACCTTGTGCCGGTCCACCATCACATCCCGAAGCTTTTCCTTCAGCTCTTCGCTGATGCCCAGGCTGTTCACTGCAGGTAGGATGAACAGAGCCATTGGGTGGGGATGACATTCAGGTGATACTTGCCAGCAGGGTATACCCATTGTTGAAGCACCGAACTACTTCCACATTAGCTATTACCCCAAACATCCTAGCACCCCAATCCTACTTTCTTCTCTGGACCCCTAAATTTCCCACCACAGTAGTAATTACAGCATTAAAGCCTAGGCAAACTCTCGCTCCCATGTATGCTCTGATTGGTCAGCACCCTGCTGTACCAGTTGTTAAAACTGTTTTGGTTTTTTTGGTACTGGGGATCAAACTCATGACTGGCGTCCTTGCAAGGAAGGTGCTTTTGCCACTGAGCTAAATCCCTGGCCCTATTTTGTTTTGTTTTATTTTTTTAAGAGAGGAGTTTGAAATGTTTAAGGAAGTGAAATGCTAACTATCCTGACTTGATTATTTTACACTATATACATTTATCGAATTGTTCCCTTATATTCCATAAATATGTGCAATTATTATGGATCAATTACAACATAAATAAATCCTCATGTAAAAGGCAGCATAGCAGATACTATATTTGGCCAAATTTATGAGACATGAAAATGTTACACTGATACTGAAATTATTTCTTCTTATTGAAGTGCAATCAGCACAAACTGTGAACAGCAGCTCAATGGATTTTCACAGACCCACTGTAAAATGCACTGTGAATCTGAGTGTAAAACTAGTACCCATGTCAATAGCAGCACATGCCCCAAGAGGAATAACCTCTGTCTTGACCTCTCTTCCAATAGGTCAGTTTTCTCTGCTTTGAATGTTATAGAATTAGAATCATACAGCATGTTTTCTCTTGTGCCTGCTTTTTTTTGACTCAGCCCAGTGTCTACAAGATAGCTGTTGTGTACTTATGACACACAGTCAGAATGTATGTATTCATTTTCATTACTGGGTAGTGACAATTCCCAAACTTGTTGACCCTGTTACACTGTAAGAATTCATTGAAGACTATGAAGAGTTTTTAATGTGAATTTTAGGTAGACATAGCTAGATCTAGATTTGTTCTGCATTTAAAATTGAAACAGATTTTAAAACGCCAGAATACACAAGCACATGTTCGATCCATCAGTGATTCATGATACCATCACAGGTCCAGGAGCCTCAGGAAAACTTCCTTGGAGGCTCATGAGAGAAGGAGTGTGCAATAGTGCAACTAAGGTCTTGATATTATTACAAAAATAGTTTTGACCCCACAGGCCCCCTGTTAAGGTCTTAGGGACCCCAGGAGACCAGGCTCACACTTTGGGAACTGTTACTGTATATTATTTTGTTAAATCACTGTGACCTCCTTGCCGTTTCTTCTTCCTTTTCTGAAATAAATGTCTTTTGCAGACCTTTTCAAAACCCTCTGGGAATCCTGGAAGCCTTCTTGCTGTGTACTAGATCAAGACCTAGCTCTGTCCCTTTTCCTTCTGGATTTCAGTTTTCGTAATTAGAGAGTTAAGTGGGTGGTCCCTGAGTTCTCTCCTTATTTGGGACCTTCCGTGACTCTATAGTTCTCAAACAGACAGTCTATGGCTCTAAGATTCTGACTTTCAAAATTATGAGTCTATTGTACTGAGCACATCATTTTTCATGCCAAGATTGATTCTCTTTCTAACATTCTATTACTCTACAGACTTCAGGGCAGCTCTCCGGGGTTCAGATCTTAGCTAACCAACCTGCAGGTTGTATAGCCTTCAGCAAATTACATAACTGAACTACTTTATCCCTCAGTGTCCTCATCTTTGAAGTGAGGTGGCTAAAAAGGACTCATAAAAATACAAATGGTAGCACAAAAACAAAAGAAAACAAACAAACGAAAGCACTGTGTTCTTGGATGGTTGTAGGGACCAAATGAAGTGATAATGTAGGGTGTTTAGAATACAGCCTGTCACATAGGAAGAGCAGGGTTGGCCAGCATCCCGTCATCATCACCCACTCTTATTATCATGTATCACCACTACCACTATAATATCTCATGTCAACATCATCTTCTTCATTATTACCTTGTTCCAAGATCTTACAGATCTGAAGTTCAGTGTATCTAAGACTTGCTGTGACTAACATTCTATTATCCTAAAGTTCTGTGCTGTTTCAGTTTCATTGTTTCTGGGGACATCAATTCTAATATCCAAAGGCCTTCAGAAACTTTTGTCTCATGCATCTATGGAAGCCCAGCAGGCCTAATTTTCTTCCCCAGACCAGTCCAGGGAGGTACAGGGCTCACTTACAAGTGGCTTCAGTGGTCCGGCGGCTGTAGGACTTGCGGACATGGTATCTGACTACCAGTTCACCTCTTTCCACTGTTGGTTCAAACACCTCCCTGGAGGAATGGGGAGAAGATGAGGGCAGGGCAAATCGAGTACAACCCTCTTTCTACCAGTGGTGGATACAGGTACCATCCCAGATCTGAGCCCTGCTGGTGCTCTGCTTCATCATTGCGAACATGCCTAGGATTGCCCCTTCCTGCCCTTCACTCATTTGCCTGGCCTTGCTGTCCTTTCATGATTCTTGGTCACTTCTTCTCCTGAACCAGCCTCCTCACTGGTCTCCCTGCCTCCTGTCTCTTCCTCCCAGTCCACGGATGCCTCTCCATGTTGTTCTAACTTACCCATAGCGGGTCTCCTTTTTCCTCCGGTGGACAAAGAATAGGGCCAAGATGAGGACACAGGCAGCGGCCACAACTGCTCCCAGCAGTACATACCACCAGGGCCATGAGAAGGCAGGAGCTGGGGGTTCACTCACTGTCGGGGTTATGGGGCACAGGTCATGGCTGAGGTTTTGGATCCAGTTCCCTGAGACCCTCGAAGTGATGTGAGAGGGAAGCAAAAAGCATGGCAGAAGTGCAGATGTACTGGCTTTCATATATTCAAGGAAAAACAGGGCAGGGCGTGCAATGGATGTAATACGAGTTAAAGCAGAAAGTGTGAGAGACTTGTAGGTCGGATATCCAAGGAGTGTGTTGTGAGCGTGCAGTGAGTGGAATGGGACGACAGCTGTGTCAGGAATGGATTGTCACTGTGTAAAGAAGGATGGATGAACACGGGATGGGTGTGAGTTAATCAGAAGTAGCATAGGTGCATGTGCATGTGTGTAATGATCATGCAAGGAGGGTGGATTTAGGCATGAAAAAACAGGCGAGGAAGGAAGAGAATCCCTGGAGTGTAGGCTGGAACATGAGGCGTGTGCAACAAACGTGCAAGGAGAGTGGGTCTGGTGGACAAAGGATAAGGAATATCTCCGAGGAGTGTTCAACAAGCACAAGAAGGTTTTCATGAAGTGAGTAATGAAAGTGAGATAGGCGTGCAAAGGGCCCTGATGAGTGTACAGTGTGGCATGGCTGGTGAGGAGTGTGGGGTACGTGAGGATTGGGAGTATCCCGGGGGTTCTAGATACAAGGAGTCAGCAATGAGTTTTAAGGACATAGCTTCAGTGGGCAAGCAGTGTGCAGTGAGTGTGTAAATGATATGAGAAGGGCGGGTGAGGAATGTGGGAACAGTGTGCAAAAAAGGCAGGAGTAGAATGGAGCATGGAAAGCCATGTGTTGAGTGTACAAACATTTCAGGGTGTGTGTGTGCAGAGAGCAGGATGTGTTGGTGTTGGTGAGGGTGAAGGGGTGTTGTCTAAAGAATGTAGGATGTGCAAGCGGAGTTGTAAGGTGTGGGATAGTTGTGTTTTTCAGTGTTTGCAATGTGGAATATACAGTGTGTCCAAGGTGTACAGAATATGCACACAAGTAGTGTGAGTGTGCAATGGGCTTAGGAGGTATGTGTGAGGAGTGAAGGGTTGTAATAGGCTATACGTGAAAAGAGGGTTGGCTGTGTGTGGGGCAAGTAGGTAAAGAAATCTAGGAAGGCACATGAGGGGTGTTTAAGGAGAGTGAGCTGAATTACAAGTAGAGGACAGAAATAGTGTACAATGAGTATGGGAGGAATGTCTGAGAACTGTTGAAAAATTGGTAAGAATACCTGTGAGGAGGACATCCCAATCATCCACCCATTCATTCATCCATCCATCCATCCATCCACCCACCCACCCATCCATCCGCCCACTATCCACTGAGTGCCTACACTGTATTGGGGCTGGATCATTTTAGGCATTTCCGTCAAGGACCACACAAACACAGGAAGTAGAGCATTACAATGATGAGTAAGAGTAGTGCAAAAGGGGTGTGCAGAGACTACACCGTGTGTTGACAAGGCCCTCAGTGGGTACTGAGGAGAGGGAGGAAAGAGGGGGTGCAAAAGCCCTCACCCAGCTGGTGGACTGGCTGTCCTCGCCCTGTGAGGAGAAAGCACAGAGGAGAGACTGCTCAGAGAGGGCAAGATGGGTGTGACCCAAGTGAGTGAGGGAGGGGGGCTCCTGCTAAGGCACAGGCAGGAACAGAGCCGCGGTTTGGGGGAAGCAGAGGTATAGGGAACAAGTCAGGGACACCCAGGAAGAGGTGAGGTCTTCGTGGGGATGGTGAAGGGGGCTCAGCATGGCTCTGTAGTTACCTGGGCGCCAGGGCTCCAGGGGCACCGGCAGGCTCCAGGGCCCGTCCCCAGCAGCAGTGTAGGCTGCCACAGACACGGTCAGGTTAGGCGCGGGCCTGCTCCCCCGCAGTTCCAGGGTCACTTCCCGCTGTAACCTGACATCCATTAGCACCTAAGAGCGGAAGCAGAATCAGGGAGAACCCCAGGCCCCCACATCATAAGCCTGCATCCCTGACCTCCCCTCCTCAGCTCTTCCTTGAAACCTTTGCCTCTTCTTGCACCAGTCACCCCCTGCCTCTTCCTCTCCATCTTCCTCTCCATTTCTCCATCCCCATGCCTGCTGGAACCTGTGGTACCAGGGCAGGGACTATACGAGCCCCCTTCCCCACCTGTCCTCAGTGCTTTAGTGCAGCACTTGGCAGTGGGATTATTTAGTCACCTTGCCAAGCCCCTCCTCACCTCCCACCCTATCTCTCCTTGGGGTATTGCCGGCCCAGGTGTCTTTGTGAAAATTAGGAAAAGCACTCCTTTCTCAAGATGCTATACAGCTGTCTACTGCAAAACTGTTAAAACGAGCACATGTAAATCTACTGAAATGCTTTTGCAGTGGGTCTAAGTAGCTCTTCCCCAGCCCCCTTCTGAATCCTCTAAATTCCCTAGAATATGCAACTGTTTAGTACCCAACCTGCACAACTGTATGTGTCTGCCTTGCCATCTTCCTCTCCCAACCATTCCACCCCAACCCAGCCAGCAGCACCAACCTCAGGTGTGTCCTGGCCTCGATAAGCCAATCGGTATCCTAACAGGGTTCCCTGCAGGGGTGCTTTCGGCTCCTGCCAACGCACGATGGCCTGGCTCCCATTCCGAATGGCGCTAACGTTCTCAGGGGGGCCCAGGGGCACTAGAGGACAGGGGGAAGAGGGGAAGATGGGGAAGCTGGTACCCCATCTCTCTCTGTCCCCCTCCTTTGTTCCCAGGAAGTGGGACTGGGACAGCAGGCACCCTCCTGCAGGCCTCTGTGAGCAGAAGCTCAGGGGAGAGACCTGGGAGGGATGCAGGGAGCAGCATGGATGGGAGGTGTTGGGGAAGGGACTGAAGGGAGGTGAGGCCACATGGGGTAAAGGGGAGTGAGGATGCTGGTGGCATTGATGCAAGCGAGATCCAGCAGGGCAGTGGTGATGCCCTCCACAGCCCCCTTACCTCCCTCTGGTGTCTCCACAGGAAGCCAGTGTGTCCAGGGTGAGGGGCCCTGGCTGCTGGCACACGACACCCGGATGTGATAAGGGGTGTGAGGATGGAGGCTGCCCAACCGAAGCTGGTGAGGGGGCACAGATGCTTGCAGGGTGAGGGGCTCCTCCGGGGGTTCTGGCTCTCCCGTCCAGCTGCCCACCCCATCATCAGACATCACAGCCTGAGGAGAGGAAAGGGCTTGAGGACAGGATTACCTCATAGTTACCCACAACCATAGCAATCTCATGACTCTCAGTGGTGATGTCCTGGCTGTGTGCGTGCGTGCGTGCGTGCGTGTGTGTGTGTGTGTGTGTGTGTGTATGTGTGTGTTGAAACTGCATGTTAGGACAACATGGAAGCCTGAATTTGCGATGCAGGAAAATCATACAGCCATCTGATGTGGCACAGTCAAAAGCCACCTCTAGCAACCCTGTCTTAATCAGTCTCTCTCTCTCTCTCTCATTCCCTTTGCCACAGGGGCTGAACCCAGGACTTTCACATTGAGCTACATCCTCAGCTTTTAAAAATAAATAAATAAACTTTTTTTTGACAGAGTCTGGCTAATTTCTAAACCATCCACGCTGAGATTGACAGTTCTCCTGTGCAGCCTGACAGAGTGCTGGGATTACAGATACGCATCACCATGCCTGGCTGACTTCTTTCTCTCTTTGAGCCTCAGTTTCCCCATTCAGAAAATGGAGGATAGGATGCTCAGTTGCCTTATAGGGTTGTTTAAATGTGTGGGCTGGAAGCCAGGTGGGGTGGGGTGTACATGTAATCCTAGCACTCTGGAAAACAGTGGCAGGAGGGTTGCCAAATTTGACCCAAGGCTGGACACATTGGCTACTTAGCAAAATCTTGTCTCAAAAACAAAAGGTGGGCAGCATGGAGTGAGTGCAGTGTTAAGGCCCTGGATTTAATCTCCAATACTATAAAAACAAACAACCCAGCCAACCACCCCAAACGGTGCCTTTACTGACATCATTCTGAGTCCTTCACAAATCTGAATTCTTTTTCGGAGGAGTTGGGAGGTTGCAAAGCACAAATTCTACTCCCGAGCTGCCCTCTAACTGAATTCAGTTGACTCTTCACATCAATCCCATTGTGCTGTGTGCTAAGTGCTATACTTCTGTGCATTACACTGAGGATCAGATTGATGGAATCCAAAGCCCCAGTTTGTCAGCCAATGAAACGGGAATGTGAATGCCATCCTGCCTCCAAAGCCTCTGCTCTACAATAACAGTACTAGTGCCTGTCATCTGTCCAGAGAGGCAGGGGAGCTTAGTACTAAAGAACATGGATGCTGGGTGTCCTATTCCCCAGGGCTGTGCCTCAGTTTCCCCATCTTTAAAATGGGCCATTGTGGCTTCCTACTCTATAGGGCTCATTTAGAAGGGTACTGGTGCATACAAAGTTTGTGTCATTGTGTGTGTGTGTGTGTGTGTCTGTGTGTGAAGTTGCCTGGAAGGTGTCGAACTGCACACCCTGCACAGAGGCACGGTCTCCCACACCCACTTGCTCCCCAGGATGCGACAACCAGGATGGAGGGGACCACAGCTGTACTACACGGAACCACAACTATACAGTCCACAGCCACACATCTCAGGAGCACTGCTGCCCAGGACTTTGCCTTTACTTTGGGGACCCCAACCATACTGTTACGTGGCATGTTGGCCTGCACAGTATTGGCTGTGTGACAAAAGCTGTTTGTTAGGCAGACTTGGTTTCTTAGGCAGCAACACCTGTAACCCCAGCACTTAAAAGAGGCTGAGGCAGGAGGATATGAAGTTTGAGTCCTGCCAGGGCAACTTAATGAGACTGATGTCAAAGAAGAGAAAAGAAAAGAAAGAACTGGGGAGGTAGCTCACAGCTGAGTACCCATGGTGTCAATCCCTAGGAGTGCTGAGAGAAGAAAGTATAGAGAAGAAGGAGGGAGAGAGAGAGAGAGAGAGAGAGAGAGAGAGAGAGAGAGAGAGACAGAGACAGAGACAGAGAGATTCTTAACTTCTCTGAATCTCAGTTTCTGTCACTGTAAAATAGGTCTCAGAGTCCTACCTGTCAAGGTGTAAACCTTAATGAAACAACGCATGTAAATGGGTTGGCACATCGTAGTCTCAATAGCTAATACATTTTTCTTTTGACACAGAGTCTTGCTATGCAACTCAGACTAGCCTTGAACTCACTATGTAGCCTAGGCTGCCTCAAACTCTCAGCTATCTTCCTGCCTCAGCCTCCTGAGTGCTGGGATTACAAGTGTGCACCACCATAACCAGGAATCCCTAACACTTCCTGAATGCCAGGTGTGTGCCAAGCTTCCTGTCAAACGCATTCTTGGATGAATTCACTGACTTTGCATCATATTCTATGGGCTTGCTTTCCTTTCTCATGCCCACTTTACAGCTGAGGAACAAGCCGAGGCCCAGAGACGTTACATAACTTGCCTAAAGTTGTTGGGCCTCCATGGAGGATGAAGACACCATCACATGACCCAGAGTGAAGGTGGGCAGATGGTGGGTAGTGGGAGGGGATGAGGCCATCTCCGTGCCTGCTCTCTGACCCACAGTGACAGATGGGAAGAGGAACCTCTCTGCCAGTACAAAGGGGAGACGGGTGCAGACAGTGGGCTCATGCCCACTCCCACTTCTCTTTTCCCTGGGACGGCCATCAGCAGGAAGTGAGATCTGGAGAAGGAAGAGGACACACTTCTGCTTTCCTGGGGACCTTTGATGAATGTGGGCAGAGTGCATTTGACGTCTGACCTGCCATCTGAGGTCTCCCGAATCAGGCCAGGCTCTGGGGTTGAATCTTAGCTTTACCCTTCCAGTCTGGGGGTGGGATAGATCCCTTCCCTTCTCTGGGTCTCAGTTCCTTACTTTGCAAAGGGCAAGATGTACAGCTTTGGTCTCCTAAGGCGAAAGTGACAAGCAGATAGGCCCAGGGCACGGAAGTCTAAGAAATTGTTTCTGAGGTTGAGGGAGCTTAGTGTTATGGCAATTGCCTCTCTGTGAGGTCCTGGGCTCCATCCCTAGCACCACCAAAACAAAACGAAACAAAACACAAGAAGACAAGCGCTGTCTAAACACTGGTTCCAAACAGTCTCCATGAGGTCAGCAGTACCCCTGGGATTGGTGAGAGGAGGTTCCACTCTTATCTCTGCTACTTCCTGCCTGTGAGCTTTGGTGAGCTGCTTAACTACTCTGAGCCCTAGTTTCTTCATCTAGAAAATGGGTCTATCCATAGACTGTTCTTCACAAACACATGTGGGAATGTGCAAAAGCCATATACAAAGCCCAGCATACAGCTAATGCTCCATAGCAGTCGGCCATCATGTAGTCCATCTCCATCACAGGCACTGTCCAGTCTTTACCTTCAACTTTCGAATCTCAGAGAACTTCAAACTGCATGTGAGTTTTGTGTTTTTGGAGCTGGGTGATTTATTTTTATCTTTGTGTTTTTCTTGCCCCAGTGTAGGAGCAACTTCGGGGCAGAGGTTGGGTCTAGTAATGAGGAGCCAGTGTGACAGACAGCCATGGCCCTACCCTTACATACACCATAGACCAGCTGGGGTCAGACTTATTCCAGGCAGTGATGACCTAAGTGGTCAGAGCCAAGACACAGAAGGACAAAATTGTGGGTGCCCAGAAATATCACCAGACCCCCTAGACATCTCCTTTGTTCCAGATATTAAGTTTGCTACTGTCCTTTACCTATTTAATCCTCAAACAAGCCAGTCGGTTAGTTGCTACCACCATGCCTATTTATAGATGACAGAATTAAGGCCCATGGAGGCCAAATCACTTCTCAGTTTCATTCAGTTAGCAGGTAGCAGAGTCAGGATGTGAACCCAGAACATCTGGCACAAACCTAGGCTCTGTTATCTCGCAACACACCAATGACTTCAAAGGGCAAGGTAGAAGGCTGAAACTGAGGTGACCCAAGTCGGAGGATCTCACCTGTACAGTGCAGTGAGTGAGGGGGTAGATGCCACTCGGGCCAGGGGTCCAAGCTACCTCCAGTTCTGTGGGCTCTCTGGAAACCAGGTGAAGGTTGTGGGGCCGTTGAGGGAGCACTGTGGACAGATGAGGGGCGTGAGTGACCCTGGGGAACCTGTACCCATAACTCCTTACCCTGCCCTCTGCTTCCCACTCTGGCACCAAGCCCAAGCCCTGCCCTCAGATACCCGGCTTCCCGGACCCCTTTTCCATCACCTGTGATGGTAGCTGTGCGGGATGTGGTGACCCCCTTAGCATTGTGGGCTTCACAGGAGAAAGAAGACGTCTTGGTCAGGCCTAGGGAGTCACACAAGGAAGGAGCCATGTCAGATGGGGGAAGGACAGAGTTCTGGGTTAGGCTGGGCTACCTACCCCCTCATGCCCAGCACAACCAGTGTCAGATCCTGTTCCTAAATATATGGACAGGCCCGTGGGCTCTACCCTTCCTCCACACACAGAATGCAAATAGTGTGCGTATGCACAATCACACACACACACAGTGTGTGTGTGTGTGTGCAGCACGTTCCCACCTGGGAGCTAAGCATTTTAGTTTCCTCTGCTTGGAACAGTCTTCTCACAAATGTCCACATAGCTTGCTCTCGCTCTGCGTGTTTGATCCTCAAAGACACCTCTATTCCTGGCCACCCTGTGTAAATGGGGACCTCTCCTTATCCCTCCACTGTCCTGCTCTGCCTTTTGGCTGGCCTCTTCTCAGCAACCCTGGCATGCTTTCCGAGTGGCTCAGGTGTCCTGTTCATGGTGGTCTCCTGCACTAACAGCTTCAGCTCCAGGGGACAAGAGTCTGTGCTGCTAATGAGCAAATGATTGGTGTGTGTGTAACTGAGTCCTCAGAAGCGTCTCTGGGTGTGTGTCTACAGAAATGTATGAGTGATTCCACAAGCAAGCCAGTTACTGTGTGTGTTGTGAGAACTATTTTGAGTGTACAAGGATGAATTCTGTGTCTCTGCCTCTTGTGTACTTGTACACGTGCCTCTCTGTACTTGTACGCACACAGCTTTGTGTGTGTTGTGCACCTGTGTCACCACCAACACAAAGGTGCACACCAGAGAAAGAAATACAAACACAGACACAGCACACATAGCGGGCACACACACACAACGTGGCCGTGACAGGATGTGAGGGGACCCAGTCTTCAGGCCAATCTTGCATGCCTGCCTGTGCTTGTGCACCCCTGGGACAAAGCCCCAGGGGACCTGTGGCCACCAGCGGCGCTCTGTCAGTGTAGCCTCTGCGTCCCCACCCCTTGGCTCCCTTGGGAGAGCGGCCTTCACCCGCAGACACAAAGTTTCTTTTCGTGGGTCCTGGACCGCGGAGGAGCGGGACAGGGAGAGTTGCCGAGGCCGGAAGGGGGAGGGCAGGGAGGCTCCAGCCTGCCCGGCAGGGCTGCTACCGCCGCAGTTCCCAGCCGAGGTCAGGTGCCGACCCGCAGCCCCCGCGGGGCTGGAACTAGGCGAGCAGCTGGATCGCGTCCAGCCACCTGGCACGTGGGGCCCCGCCAGGGTCACCGCGCTGGAGCGGGCGCCGCGGGCTGGGCAGCCCCGAGTGGAGCGGGAGGGGGTTCTGGAGCCGGGTCCAGTTCCGACCGCAGCATTCCTGCCTCCGCGTGAGTCACCCGCGCCCCCCCCCACTGGGCACTTCCGGCGGGCGGAATTGGTGGCGGGGACCCCCTTTCCCAGCCTCATCAGCTGCACCTTAGTAAAGGGCACAGGAGGGACCAAGGTGTGAGGGACTCCTCCGCAGTGGGCTTTTGCCCCAAGACTGCAGCCACCCGGACTCCAGATGTGCTTTCCAGATGTTCTGCACCACCCAGCCCCATCCGCTCCCCCTCCAAGCTTTTCCAAGGGAACAACAGGGATGGAAGGAGAGAGAGGGCACGCCCTGAGTCAGATAGCGGGACAGACTCAAGAACTGACAGAATTCCTTCACAAGTCACCCCCACACAGAATGAATCACATTTAAACACACAGGGCCCCTTATTAGCACAAACAGACACACAGAAAATGCACCTCTCACTGGGCTACATCAGACTCACAGGGCCTATGCTGTTCTAAACACATAGTGAACACAAATACCCAGTGACTCACTGGTAAGACTCAAAGGCTTGCGCTGGGGCACATATACAGCGATCTATGCATACCCAAACGGGTCCATGTCGGGACACACACACAAACACAACCGGTGTGCAGCAAACACCTCACAACTCGACATATGTTGGAAGCAGAAGTTAACCTCGCTGTATGTTGAAATACACAGGCCACACAGCAAAGGTATGGTGAAATTGAGGGGGACGAAGAGAGATACACCGGGACATAGGAAAGGTAATGTTGACTTGTTCCCACACCAACACATAAACACGTAAACGCACAGCCAAACCCTCCTCGTGGACATGCTCAGGTTGCTTTGTGTCCACTGAGATGCAGACTGGGACAGACACAATCACACAGACACTTGGGCCTGCTTTGGATGCACAAAAAGGGAGACACTTCCAGGAACACACAGGTTGACACAGATGTGCAGGTGCATGCTGATGCGTGGGCTGAGTCGTAGGGTCCACCACTAAGGGGCAGCCATGTCTGATCCACACACACAGAGGGGAGCAGAAGGTGTTGTTGATGCTGTCCTGCTGTGAATCTCAGTCTCTTTCTCTCTTACACACATACCTACTGGGACTTAGATTCTGTGGTGACAGGGTCATATACCAACACTTTTATCCTATGATGTACACACACACACACACACACACACACACACACACACAAGCACATACACAGACACACACTATGAAGACATCCATGGGCATATGTATTTGACAGCTCACAAGAAACATCAACATTTATGGACATGTACTATAGGGAGCAGGATCCCGTACTGGACACACACTGTTAGGTGCACACCTGTGAGCTGACATAATCACCTCCATGGAGACAGAAGGGTGCAAAACAGCCACAAAACCCACTGTCATGTCCCCTGCACTCTTACACAGGGGCAACCCCTATGAACACAGGAACACAGAGAGAGACAGATACAGCCTGACATGGAGTGAGTACACACAGACACAGGCATCCACGATGCTGAGCCTTGCTAAGACACACTTTCTTTGTTGTTGTTGGTACTGAGGATTGAACTCACAACCTCACACTTGCCAGGTAGGCGCTTATGCCATTGAGCTAAATCCTCAGCTCTAAAGTACACTTTCCTACCAAGAGGCTGGTACTGATGGCTACATACACACACAGATCCAAGTGGACCAAGATGTACCTCAAGGACCCTGTGTGTGTCCCTCTGTCACTGCACATCATGTGCAGACTCTCTCACACCTGCACCCCTGTCCCTGGCCCTCTCCCAGGTCCTGTCAGGCTGACTCAAGCCCCATCCATGTCCCTACCAGGCCACTGGAGCCAAGGGCCTGAGTCACCCCTCTGGGGGCCAACATGGTCATCACTGCTTCCTTGCACACTCAGGGTCCCTGGAATGCTGAGAATGTGGGCATGTCCTTTTCCCCCAGGAGACTCCTCTTCAGCCCAGCCAAAGGAGCACCAGATCTAGACTTGGCAAACTAAACTCTTCCGAGTTAAGCAGCCTCCACCGACTAAGCCACCCAGATCTGTGTGCCTCTGTCTCTCCTTCCTCCATAAGGGAAAGCCTTGTGTCCAAGTGACCCTCAGCAAGGCACTGGGTCTGCGCAGTGCAGAAGGGGAGTCTCCCTTAGGAGGGTTTATGTCACCAGGTCTCCTCTCTCCATCTTGGGTCTCTTCTGTAACCTGTCCCATCCGGTGTCTCTTATTCTAACTCTGCAGGATTGTTCTTCTGTCTTCTGTTTATCCTTTCTTTCTACTTTGGGTTGTGATTCCCTTGACAGAGGCTAAGAGAACTCTTCAGGGGAAGAGGTGGCAGGCATCGAGAGAAGAAGGTAGGAAAGTTTGGTTCTGAGGCCCTGTTTGGGTCAAGGGCTTATAAAGGGGCACGAGCCTCACACACTTAGGCCATGGAACAGCTCAGAGGAAGTTTAGGACAAAGAATGCTATTCAGAGAGAGGCTGGGCTAAATGGAGGGAGAGGGGGCAGCAACAGAGGGGGTACAGATAGTGAGAAAGCAATGGAGGGACAGAGAGATGGAGAACAGGGAGACAGAGACAAAACACATGGAGAGAAATGAGGCAAGAGACAGACAGACTCACACAGAGACAGAGGGCAGGGGGACAGAGGGAAGTTCGTGCAGAAGCAGCAGGGAAGGGCCAGACATCCACCTTGCCCGACCTCCTACTCCTGGCCCAAATCCCAGACTCACCTGGAACTTGTAGGCTGCGCTGGGGGCTGTGGTCTGTGGATGGGACCAGGGGAACAGCATCCTGGAGCCAGAGCAGGTCCACTGGTTCTGGTGGTCCCTGGGCCCAGCAGCTCAAGTTGAAAGGTGTGTTAGCGGCCACCATCTTGTCTTCAGGCTCCTCCAGGAAGTAAGGCAGGCCTAAGGGGAGCCCAGTGATAGAGGCTGAGGTCCTCTGGGACCTCCCAACTACGTGAACCGTCACTGGGATGCTGGAGGCTTTGGATATCAATTCTGTAGGGCCTCTGACCTGTTCTCTCTTATGCCTGGTCTCCTGGACATCTGAGTCCCTTTTAGATGTTTGGCTCCTCAAATCTCTATCGTCAGAACACAAGACCCCAATGTATGATTCCTCCCAGCTGGCCCTCCCCATAGATCTGAGCCCCTCATGTCTCTTTTTCACAACTTTGTGACTTGTTATCTCATGTCACTTAGAGGCTGGGGATTTAGCTCAGCAGCATAAGTGCCTGCTTTGCAAGTGCATAGTCGTGAATTCGATCCTGGTACTGATTTAAAGAAAAAAAAAGAAGAAAGAAAGAAATCTCATCTTACTTATGAGGAAAGTGAGGTCCCTGAGGGGAGGGCAGAGAGGGTTAAATCATATGCCTCTGATTCCCAGAAGGTCTTACTCTAGTACCTTGGCCCACAGGACAACCCCCCCCTAAATAACCCCCCAGGACATAGGATGTCCCCAGGTTTTCTCCCCCATAATTATGGACCACAAGCCTCCTGACCCCCTGAGACCTCTGACATTTCTAGGACATTTGTCTTCAGGGGACACCCTGAGTTCTCTAGCACCCTGTGACCTCTGGACTCACCTTCCAGCCCTACATACCCAGGCTGGGACACAAAGTTCTGTCCTCTCAGATGCACAGCACACTGGTACCTTCCGGCATCCACAAGCTGCAGGGAGGAGATGCTAATGGGGCAAGAGGAGGAGGGATGGAGAGGATCTGGGTCAGAGCTGGACCCTGGGAGGGGGCAGCAGAGCTGAAAGAGGGGGACCAGGACCTCATAGGAAGCATGAAGTAGGAACTATTTTTAACTCAGTTTACAGAAGATGAAAATGAAACCCAGAGGTCATGTCATAAGCTCTAAGCTACATGGTCAGCAAATATTCAAGATGGGATTCCAACCCAGGTAAAGCTATGTAGGGGGCGGTGGGGCAGAGACAGAGATGAAGAGATGTTTAGGGTATGGCTGATCAGAAAGAAACTGGACACCTGAGTTGGCTGACCACTTTCCAGTCATCTTGCCAGTCTTCACCCAGGGGCACCTGGACCTGAGTGCTGTCTGCCAGCTCCAAGACCTGTCCATCCCGAAGCCAGTTCACTTCAGCGGGTTCCCCCTGAACCTTGAGCTCACACCTAAGGACCACCGTGATTCCCCTGGAACCCGTGATGTTCCCAGGGCTCTCCACAAAGGGATCATCGATCTCAGCCTGTGCTCCTGCAGGGAAGACAGGAAGCAGTGAGGTTAGGAATCTCCATTTTCCCGGCTCCCCAACTCCACCCTGTCTGTCTGCCCATCAGCTACCCAGACCTGACCAGGCTCTTAGGCCCACATAGTTGTAGAGTGACCTCAGAGAGGGGCAGGGGGTGGAGGCTTGGGGAAGGATGGGAGTCTTCCCAGGGGACAGAGCTCCAGCATCCATCGTCTGTCCATTGGGAAGTAGGCCCACAATCTGGCAGCCTCCCACGCCCTGGATTGCCTGGCAGGGCCAGTGCCTGCCCTTAGGGTCTCTAGAGACTTAACAACAGTTTGGGCTTGTAGATACGGGGAAGAAAAGGGATGGGAAAGACAGAAGAGAAGGAGAAGGAGAGGGAGAAGGAGAGGGAAAGGGAGAGAGAGATGAGGTGAAAGAGAGAAACAGAGATAAAAGAAGAGACAGAAAGAAACATCTAAGATGAGAATTGAAGGGCAGAGTCCCAGAGGGAGACTAGAGGGGAGACTCTTAGCAGAGAGATAGACAGAGACTGGCGGGGGGGGGGGGAGAGCCCTATGGAGACGTTAAGCTGGACGTAGGGGTAGGGATAGAGACAAAGACAGAGACCCTGTTCTCAGAGATGGAACAGACTATGGTAAGGATGGGGGACTGACTGTGACAGGGGAGCCCCAGGCTCCTGAGCACTTCTGACTGCTTGCCTTGGGGCTCCTTTGGAGGAGGGACCCCTCCCACCAGTTCCTCTCCTCAGGACCCAGAATCAAGTCCAGCACCCACCTCTCCCTCATCTGTCTCTCTGCATCCATCTCTTCTGTCTCTGGTGCTCTCAGTTTCTGTTTCTGGTCCTCCTGTTCCTCTCTTTTTCTCCCTCCTGCCTCTGAGTCTCTTTTTCTCTTGCTGTCCCCTTTTCTATGTCCCCTCTGTTGTCCCAAGAAAAGTCTCTAAGCCTGCGGAGCTCCCAACCCCCCCCCCAACACCTGCCAGCCACCCATCTCCTCCCCTCCCCGCTGCCCTTGCCCCTTGGTGGGGGCCCTGCCTCCAAGGAGCCCCTATCACTCACCTTTGGGGGCCACACACCCCCAGCAGCACAGCGCCAAGCACCAGGCCAGTGGAAGCCTGCCCATCCTCAGGCACCGGCGCGCGGTCCGTGCCAAACTTTTCTCCAAAGTTGCTGGGCACGTCGCGGGGGAGGGGGAAGGGACGGGCTGTCCCCAGCCCTCCCCCCCAGCTCCAGGCGCCCCTGATTTGGCAGTGCCTGCCTGGCACAGCAGGGGCCCCTTGGCCGGCTCCGCTAGCTCCTCCGCTGCCACCTTCCCGGCTTCCCTTCCTCCCTCTCTCCCTCCTAGACTTCGGGCAACCCTTTCCCCGCCCAGGCTCTGGCTCCCTCGCTGCCTCCGCCCACCCGGCCTAAGTCCCGGGGGCCACCTGGGCAGTTAGGGGTTAACTCGGGGAGGGGAGGACCAGCCCTGTCTTAAAGGGACCTTGGAGGGAGGTTGGGGAGGAGGAAGGGGATGCCCGTGGCAGCGCCCACTGAGCTTGAAGCTGTGAACCTCTGTGTCTGGCTCGGGGCGCTGTCCCTCTGGGCTCTCTGGGTCTGGTAAACATTCTCCAGAGCTCCACTCCCCTGCAGCCGCCCCCTCTCCGCCTCCACCCCCAGTCCAGCTCCAGCCAGGCCTCCGAGGCCCTTCACTCCCCCTCACACTCAAGGCTCCTCGGACAAGGACACACACACACTCACACACTCATACTCAGATGGTGTAGACACAGACAGAGGCTGGGACAGGCAGAGACATGCAGGGGCACACTGCCAGCTCATGGACATCCTCAGACAAGCTGGGTCAGGAGCTGCCTCCTGGGGTAACCTCCTGGAAGGAAGTTCACTGCCCATGGATGTCAGGGACTGAGAGGAGGCACTAGGGTGGGGAGATGCACAGATGCTCAGACCCTCCAAAACCCACTAGGTCACCGAAGCATACATCAAGGCATGGGTTCACATCAACGCCCTGGGAATTTAGCTAAGGTCCAAGCTCTAGATCATGGGTTCCATCCGGTACAAGAAAAAAAAAAAAAACCCAAAAAAACGGCTCACAGCAAGGGGTCATCATTGCTGTTAAGGTCGTTCTCTGGCAGGAGACTGACCTCCTGCTTGGGTCTCAGTGTGGTTCTGTCACAGGCTAGAGCGGATGGCCTGGCTCATAGTGTATAAGGTTCATAGGTTCTTTGCACGCAGGCACGCATGCACGCACGCATGCACGCGGTGACCACAGCTGACAAGGTTCCTGTGAGGTCTGACATTTCAGCGCTGTCTGACCCCGCACTTCCCCTCTGCTCTTTCCCCAGCTGGGCTGTGCATTGGGCCCTTGCAGACCTGGGCCCTGTGTTGGCTTGGCTGCCTGTTATTCCCGTGCCCTGAGGATTTGGCTCAGGGAGCTCTGTGTGGACAGTCTGTGCAGGAGGAGGGTGGCGGCCTCTATCTATTCTGGGTCATTTCTGTCTGGGGCTTGGTGTCCCTGAAGCTCATCACAGAGTTCCCTTTGTGTGGCTTCCTGATGTTGGCATGGCCCCTCTACTTTTGTACCACCCGACCTATCACCCAGCTAACATCAAAAGGCATTTCTGTCTCATCCCTGGGCTGGGAGCCTGTCCTCCTTCCTCCAACCTGTGTCCCCCTCAACAGTCAGAGGGATATTTCTTAGTCCCATATTGAACCCTTCCCTCTCCCATCCTGAACTTTTCAGACAAAGCCTCAGACTCTTCCCTGAGGCCTACAGGCCCTCATCACGTTCACGCAACCCTCCCTCTTCCCAACTTTGTGTATCTTTTCTATTCTCACCCAAGGAGCCTCCTTCCAGGTCATGGATCTTCCTCACGCTGCTTTTTGTCCCAACTCCTGTACAACCCTCCTCAGACATCTCCACTGTCCCATCATGTTGTATCACTGCCAAGACGCTTCCAGTCACCTCCTAGGTCACCGTGCTGTTTACCACCTTCTCCTTTCCTTTGGCATTATTTCTTTGCATGGGGTGTCATCATACAGTTATTGGCACCATTACATGTCTCAAGTCTATCTCCTCCTGCTGGTCTATGGGAGAGAAAAGACTGGGTTTGTTTTGGTCACTGCTATATCCCTGCTATCCTGTAAAAAACCTGCTGTAAAGAGACAATTAATATAATTGTGGCATTTTGGGTACAAACATGTGCAAAGGCCCACTCTCTTCTTTAGGCCCATAGGAGTCTGTACTTACTTTAAGCTCAGCAGATTCAGCTGGATCTATTGTGAACTAGAACCTGTGAACTCATTCACTGAAGAGCTATTTGCTAAGCCTGGTTTAGCAGTGCATACCTGTAGTCATAGCTACTCAGGAAGCAGAGAGAGGAAAATCTCAAGTTCAAGGCCTGCCTGGGAATTTTAGTAAGACCTTGTTTCAAAACACAACAAAACAAAACAAAACAAAATCTTGTCTCAAAATAAAATGTAAAAAAGGCCTAGAGGTGTAGCTCAGAGGTTTGCACTTGCCCAACATGTAGCAGGTCCTGAGTTCAGTTGCCAGTACTGAAACAAACAAACAACATCCCTATTTGCTGAGTACCCACCATAGGCCTTCAATTTACCTTGAAAAAAAATATTCTTTTGAGACAGGGTTGCACTGTGTAGTCTAGACTGGCCTCAATCTCATGGCAATTCTCTTGCCTCCCGATTGTGGGATTAGAGATATGTGTCACCTAGAGGTATATTTTTAAAAAATGAAACCAGATGTGTTGGTGTACCCCTGTAATCCCAGCACTAAGGGAAGCTGAAGAAGGAGGATTACAAATTTTGAATCTTGCCTGGGGAAACTTAGTAAGGCCCTGCCTCAAAACAAAAAGTAAAAAGAGCTTGGGCTGTAGTTGCATCTTGACTGACACCCCAGAGATGCCATCAGCCACATCTAGATCACGAACAATTGTTCAGGGCCAATGATGCGGCTTAATAAACAAATGGCATACAAAAGTATGGGAACAGTTACAGATTTTAACAGTTTAAGAGACACCTCAAGTGACATTTGGATTCTGATTTGAATAAACTAGCTATAAAATATGAGATCATCAGGGAAACATGTACACTGATAGAATTGTTCACTGTGATAGTAAATCAGTAATGAATATTGTGGAAGCTGGGTGTATTAGAGCATGCCTATAATCCCAATACGCTGGGAAGCTGAAGCAGGAAGATTGAAATTTAGTGAGATCTTGTCTCAAAAAAAAAAAAAAATTAAACAAGGCATGGGATGTAGCTTGATGTGAAGGCCTTGGGTTCAACTTCCCAGTACTGAAAAAACAACGCAAAATAAAGACAAAAAAAGGGTACACTTCACAGGGGGAAGAATTGAGTGAGTTTTCATTGGGAATGATGAAAAATTTGGGGGGTAGATAGTGGTGACATGGTTATAGAACATCACAAATGTTATTTAATGCCACAAAATTATACACTTATGACAGTGCGTTTTAATGATGCTATGTGTATTTTACCACAGACACAAACACTTCTGAAGGCCATACTAACTACCTTTTTGTACTTTGGGGGTCTGATAATCCCTCTCCATTGTTGAAGGAATGTGAGTGACTTCATGTTTTTTACTTTCTACTAAAATCTTCCTGATGTCATTTTTTGTTTTCCTTGTGGTGCTGGCAGTGGAACCCCGAGCCTCACCCAGGACAGGCAAATGCTCTGCCACTGAGTTCCACCCCCAGCCCTCTGGTCAGTTTTTATACCAAACGCAGTGCAAGGTCCGTTTTTCTTTAAATAAGCTATTGTGTTTTTTTTTTTTTTTTTTTTTAATTTCTGTCTGCTTCGCAATTTCCCTGAATGTGACTTTTGAATCCAAAGGGAAGCCAAGTCATCGCCTCGAATTTTTCACAGGAAAAACCTTCAGCCTCATTCCTATTCACATCATTTGAAATATAAAAAATAGCAATATGAAGTCCAGGAACTTAGCATGTATTAGTTTGTATTAGGTTTCAGAATTTTTCATATTCCTTATGTTTTTGTAGTGGTGGGGATCAAATCCAGGGACTCACATGTGCTAGGCAAGTGTCCTACACCAATCTACCCCTCCTGCCCCTACATTTCTTACTTTTCTATTACAGGTTTAAGATGGTAAATCCTCCACAAGGCGTAGTCAGGTAGCAAGTGGCAGTTAGGATTTAATTCCAGTCTCAGCTTCTTAATTTTTTATTTTTATTTTTTTGAGACGGGATTACAGGTAGCTCTTAAGAGCCTAACCTAGGAGATAGGAGGATCACCCTGAATTCAAGCCATGGCTAGGCCACAAAACCAGTTCAAAACCAGCCACAGGGAAGGAAAAAAAAAGGCTGGGGATGTAGCTTGTTCAAAGCCAGTTGAAAGCCATCTTAAAATACAGAGTGAGACCCTGCCTTGACAAAACACCAAACCAAATCAGAAATAAATAGCTTAGCTGGGACGTGCCTGTAATCTTAGCACTCTGGAAGGCTGAGGCAGGAGGATAGCAAATTTGAGTCCAGCCTAGGTAACCCAGTGACTTAAAATCAAAAATGTATATAAGGGCTGGGGTTATAGCTCAGTGCAAAGGCCCTGGGCTTAATCCTCAGTAGAAGAAAGGAAGGAAGGAAGGAAGGAAGAAAGAGAAAGAAAGAAAAGAAAGAAAGAAAGAAAGAAAGAAAGAAAAGAAAGAAAGAAAGAGAGAAAGAAAGAAAACAAAAAGCCTTTGCTTATGAAAGGCAGGCAGGAGGGAAGGGGTGTTGGAAGAGCCCAGAGAGGGGTCTATGTGCATGGATTGGTGACTGTAAGTATCTGCTTTCAGACTTGGAGAGTCCCCAGCCATTGAGTCTGTTCTGTTCCCTTTCCCTGGGCCTGGGCCCCCCAAGCAGGACAGCCCCAGCTCTGCCCCTCCCCAGCCCTCCAATTTCAGCTCCACATCTGGTACTGATGTCAACAGCCAGGGTGGGTGGTGACTGTGTTTTTCAGCTCCCGCCCAACCTCAGGGGAGGGGTGCACTCCCTCGTCCCCACCCCTTACTCACTGCGACAGACGACAGACATGGTCACATATGCACATGAGGCCATGCCCTGGGCCAGACCAGGGGCCAGAAACAAACTTTTATTGCAAAGTAAGAACCTTTATGTGATAAAGAGGTCAGATCAGGCCTCTTTCCTAATACTGGGTGTTGGGACCTGGCCCTTTCTTGGTCCTCTAGCTCTTCCAGTGATGGGGACTTTAATATAAACTAGGGACTTTGGGGCTCTATATCAACATGGTTACATAAGCAGGGATGGGGGTGTGCTTTCTCTGGTCTGGGGGACCTGTGTCCAAGGTTTGGGTACACAACTGCAGATCAGGAAGTCTTTTTTTTTTTTGGTACCAGGGATCAAACTCAGGATTTCGTGCTTGCCAGGTAGGCACTTGTGCTGCTACGCTAAACCCCCAGCACCAGGAAGTCTTGTATTTGGGAAAATCTGAGGAAAAACAATGCCTAGAAAGGGTGTCTCTGGAGACAAAAGAGTAGAGGTGGCTGGGGACCACGTCCCTGTAGAGTGGTGTGTCTCAGTGGGAAGCTATGAGGGGAAGCAGGACGGGGCCATGCATGGGCTGGTAGTGTGGATCAGTGGTTGGGGGCTGTGGCTGGCAGTGCTCATGGGCTTGGAGGGTGGTGAGGACACTCAAGGGGCGCGAGTTGGGGCTACAGACAGGGAGGGAGAACAGTATTTCTGACTGTGGCATGATCGAACCCAGTCATGCTGTTCTCTGTGGCAGGTGCCCAGAGAGTGGCACTGTCTGTTGGCTGAAGAGGGCGTGAGAGCTGTGACCACAGGTGGGCTTGTTTGTGCGGCTGCGAGGATGGTGGCTGGACTCCCCCATGTGGACTGAGGGTGCAGGCAGTTGTGTGGTGTATGGTTTGGTGGGATACATGGGCCTCTGCTTGTGGCTCCAGACATACTGCACTACATTGATGTCTCATACAGCAGCTGTGGTCCCCAAGACTGTATGCCTGTGTCACAGCAGCTGTGTGGGCCAACTGTCTGTGTGGCATCTCTAGAAAACAGCTGCAGATGTAGCCAGTTTGCCTTTGGTGTGGACCCGGGGCTCTGGACACACACCCTGTCCATGAATGGTGGGGATGTTGCCCTGGGCAGCTCCCACCTTCCCAAGCGCCCTCCTTCATCTGGTCTGCACGGTGGGGTGGAAGTCAGCAGGATGGACCTGCAGCTGGAAGGCTGGAGGGATGTTGAAGAGGCCACTGACAGCTGGCTGGAGGCTCAGGGTGTCTGGTGGGCACGGGCTGTCTAGGTAAAAGGCTTGCAGGATGGCGGTGAAGAGGAGGAAAAGTTCTGCTTGTGCCAGGCCCTCTCCAAGGCAGATGCGCTTACCTGGGAAGGAGACGGGGGACGGGGTTGAACCTGTCCCATGCACACCCTTGTCCTTGGGGTTGGGGATGGGAGTGGCAATTGGGAACCCAGGGTGCGGGGAGGGTGCCTCCAGCTGGCACCAATGTCCTTCTCAGCCAGGACCCCTTCCCCACCTAAGGAGTAGGGCAGGAATGCTTTGGGTTTCTTGAACCGTCCTTCCGCATCCAGGAAACGGCCTGGGTTGAACTTCTCTGGCTGCTCGAAGATTGTAGGGTCATGCAGGACGGAGCCAAGGAGAGGGAAGACCTCAGTGCCCTGAGGGAAATGATAAAACTATGGTTCTTACTAGGCCAGGCCACTTGGCCTAAGACAGCCAAGTATCAGCCTGGAGTGCTAGGGACACCAGTTTGCAAAACAATGACATCAGCATTAACTGGGTGTTGACTGTGAGCACATACACATACTACCTCTGTGTAACAGGTGCACAGTACATGTGTCTCACATGCACACATGCTTGCTTGTGTGCACATCTGCGTATCCTTTCTCTTCCTAGCTGTTTTTCCTGTGCTGGTGAATAAGCCCAGGACTTTCATGCTGAGCTACATTCCCAGCCTTTTTTCTTTTCTTTTTACTTTTTGAAACAAGATCTTGTCAAGTTACTGAGTTGCCCAGGTTGGTTTTAGACTTGCTATCATCCTGTCTCAGCCTCCCAGAGTGCTGGGATTATAGGCATTCATCACTGTCTCTGTCATTAAATCTTTTGGACAAGTCTATAAGGTAGGAACAAATATTATTCCAGTTTTACTTTTTTCATTTTTTGCAGTGCTGGGGATAGAACCCAGGGTTTCATGCATATTATGCAAATACTTTACTGCTCTACAACAGTCTTTTTATTTTATTTTGAGATAGGATCATGATAGATGCTTGATAAAGTTTTAATCTTCCTGCCTTAGCGTCCTGAGTAGCTAGAATTGTAAGGGTGTGCAACCACGCCCAGCATATTACCCCCATTTTAAAATGAGGAGGTTAAACTCATCTGGTGGTACACACTTGTACACACTCAGGAGGCTGAGATGAGAAGACTGTGGAGAGTTCAAGGCCAGCCTGACCTGCATAATGAGATCATGTCTTAAAAATTACAACAAAACAAAACAAGACATATGAAAGGATGAGGAAACCATGGCAAAGGTAACCGTTTGTAGAATGGTATTTTCACACTTGGTTTTGAAACTTTGGGAGTGTGTCATGATTCAGCTGTGCCCAACCTTAGCCACCTCTCTGTGGAATGTGTCAGAGTTCAGCTCTGCGCTGTGGCTGAAGCTGAGGGCGAGTGAGCTGGGCTGTCCAAAGTTCCCTGGCTCAGGTTCAGAGAGAGGAGCAGCTGCAGCCCAGATCAGAGCTCCCCATTTCCTGGGGTTGTGGCTGAGGCTGAAGCAGGTGAGAGATAGAGAGGAGGAAGGGGGATTTCTGAGCCAGGATGTCTGCCTAATGGGGTCCCAGTTGGAAGGTGAGGGGCTCCAGGAAAAGATACTGCCAGGTTAGTACATTTGAAATAAAAGAAAGGTAGAGAAGAGTAGTTAAGGCATAGGCTCCTGGTTCCCACTTGGCCTCTGTCCTTGTAGGCTTGGTCGACCTCAGAAAGTCTCCTAGCCTTCCCAGCTCCATTTCTGCTTCTGTGAAATGGGGTTGGTCCCTGGAGAAGGCTGCTTTGGGGATGAAATAAGAATACACACCGAAAGCATTTAGAATATTACTTTGGTACTGGGCTCGATGGTGCATGCCTCCCGTAATCCCAGCCTTGGGGGTAGGGGTGGGGGCTGAGGCAGGAGGATCACTGAGTTTGAGGCTAGCCTAGGGTACACAGTGAGTTCAAAGCTTGCTATGAACTATGTAGCAAAGAGACTATCTCACAAAGAGAAAGAAAGAAAGAAAGAAAGAAAGAAAATAAATAAATAAATTTGGGTCAGGTCCCCAAGTACTGATATCTTTTATTCTTTTGGTAGTACTGGGTGCAGAACCCAGACTGAGCTACACTGAGCTAAATCCCTACACCCTAAGCCTTCAATAACAACAACAACAACAACAAAAACCAACAATAATTAGTTTTGTTTTGGTACTGGGAATCAAACTCAAGACCTTGGCTTGCCAGGTCTTGAGGCAGGCACTTATGCTGCCGAGCCCTATTTAATTATTTTGAGACAGCGTTTCGCAGGCACTAAGTTGCACAGGCTGAGCTCAAATTTGTGATCTTCCTGCCTCAGCCTCCCAGAATGATGGGATTATAGGCATAGTTCACCACACCTGGCTTCTCAATATCATTATGGTGCCCCCTCCTCCTCAGCCACCAATAACTGAGTTTGGTTTTATGAGCATTATCTTATAGTTCTCTCATGATGCTACTTCTATTCCAAGTTTAGAAGAGGGGTATTTTGAGGTTCAGAGCATGAAGAAATTTGTCCAAGACTGCAGCCATAGTGGCTGAATTTTAACTGCTATGGTTTGATTCTACAGTGAAGCAAGGAGCAGCTGTGTTAATTTCAGGACCCGGGAAATATCGTCCCCTGGTGGTGATTCTAGGTCTTAGCTGCTTTTCAGTGAAGAGGCAGGGATTCCACAAGAAGAGGGGGAGAGAGGGAGGGAGAAGGGGAGAAAAAGGAGGAGGGAGAAGGGAAAGAGGAAGAGGTAAGGGAAAAGGGAAGAAGGAAGGGGAGAGGGAAGGAGAGAGGGAAGGGGAGAGGGAAGGAGAGAGGGAAGGGAAAGGGACAGACTCTGGGTGTTTGCAGTAAAGTCTAACAGACAGACGACAGATAGAAAGAAATTCAAATAAAAAACGTCCAGGCCTGTAATTTGGGCACTGGAAGGGTTGAAGCAGTAGCACTGCAAATTTGAGCACAACCTGGGCCATTTAGTGACTTAGTGAGATCCTCAAACAACGCAGGGCTGAGGATATACTCAGCACAGAGGTGGCCCTGGGCTCAATCCTCAGTACCCACCCCCCAAAATCAAGAAAAGCTTTGATACACCAATTATTTTAGCAAATAACTAAGGCTCCAAAGCAGAGGCCACTGCTGGGCTGTGCCCATCCACACACCCACCTTGGGCAGCGTGTACCCTCGGAAGCTAGTGGTCTTCGTGATGACATGGGGCATGCCCATGGGCACGAGCGCCAGCAGCCGCTGTGCCTCATGCAGAACTGCGTCTGTGAAAGGGAGGTGGGGCCGGTCCCGCAGGCTGGGTGCCTGGCCAGCTGGCAGCTCCCGCATCAGCTCCTCCCGTACCTGCTCTGCAAGCAAGAAGAGAGTAGGGTTGCGGGGCTCTGACCTTCCTCTTAGCAGCCCTGTTGTCTTGGGCAGTGGTGATTTAGGATGAGGCTGGCAGAGGGGAGAGCAACCTCCAAAGGCTCAGAGAGCCTGGGGCCGTCATATCTGTCCTCTTAATCCCACAGCAACCTGTGGAGTAGATATCTATCTGCAATTCCCAGATGAGGAAACTGAGGCCTGGTGAACTCTAAGTCACCTGCCCAAAATCACAGCTGATTCCAAGGACACCACTAGGCCAGTCCACCCCACTGGCCTGCCTGCATTTAACATAGCTGTGTGACCCAGAATTCATCAGAGCTCATTCCCAACCCTGCCTCTTATCACTCACCCTCCCTGTTCTGTGAGGACCTTAATTTGTTTGTTCTTTCATTTCTGAGCATTGAACCCAGAGACTGAACTACATGCCTATCTCTTTATTAATTTTTTTGAGACAAATTCTCGTTAAATGATACATTGCTCAAGCTGGGCTTGGGCTTGAATTTGAGAACCTCCTGACTTAGCTTCCCAGAGTGCTGGGATTACAGATGTGTACCACAAACCTGTCAGAGGACCCTAAATTTTAATCTGCAGCCCCTATCTGGCTGTCTTATAATTTCCTGCATCCCTTCTTGTGTCTAGACCCTACTCAAATTATTCCCCAGTGGCCCGAGCGTCTCCTTTGAAACCAGTTTTTTCCTTATCCCTCCTGCCCCACTTCAGGATGGACCGACTGTTCCCACTGTCCTCGCACATCTCATTCCCTTGTTACCCTCCAAGACCTGTCTGTTCTGCTCTTTTTCACCCTCACAGCTTGTCCAGCCCTGTCCTCTTCCTTTAGGTCCCTATGCTCCTCCCAGGGCTCCTGGCACCCTTTCTCACCCTTTACAATCCAGTTCTTTAGGACAACCTAAAGGATTTTAATAAAATCCTGATTTGACCCTGTATTCTCCCTGCTCAAAATCCTTCCGCGCTCCCTGTGGCTGAAAACAGCACACAATGTACTGTGTCAAAGGGACAAGGCCCTACAGCCACCTCCTGCCTTGTCACTGGCAGCCCCCAGCCTCTCACTGCCAGTTACTCATTCTCATTCCAGACACTGGCTCAGCCTGTCTGCTCTACCTGCTCTTCTGCCCTCCTCAGCCCTCACTTATGTCCCTGGAGCCTGGCTGGTGGGAAAGTTTCTTACTTTGCACCTCAGGATATTTCAGAAGGAGCAGGAGGGCATAGCGGACAGTGGCACCCGTTGTCATTGTCCCAGCAAACAGCAGATAAGTGACTGTCATCAGCAAGTTCTTCTCAGTGAATTCTGTGCTCAGGTTTTTTTCCTCCTGGAAGAAAGCAGGCAGAGGGGCTCAGAGAACACAGGCTGCGGGAAGTAGGGGCTTAGAGAAAACAGTGTTGGGGTGCAGAGTAGCAAGTTAAAACTTCAACAGGGAGTTTAAATAAATGTTTTGGAAAAGCTGGCAAGTGGGCTCTTGATATTAGTTTGCTCCAGTTGAAAAGCTTAAAAAAAGAATATGAAATAAAAGAAAAGAGAGAGAGAGAGAAAAAAAAAGTGAAAGTGAGGCAAGCCTGGTGGCACATGCTTATATTCCTAGCACTTAAAAGACCAGAGCAGAAAGATCTTGCGTTTGAGGATAACCTGAACTATACAGCAAGATCCTGTCTCAAAAGACCAAAAACCAAATAACAAAAACCCCAACAATTTAGAAGAGAATTAAATGTTGGTGCAGATGTGGAGAAATGCCAATGTTTGTGTACCAATGTACAGTTGGTACTGTTGTTGTGGAAAAAAAATGTGGCAGCTCCTCAAAAATTAAAGATACATGGTGCACGCCTGGAATCCCAGCTACTCAGGAAACCGAGGCAAGGAAATTGTAAGTTTGAGGTGAGCCTGGCAAGACCCTATCTCAAAAATAAACCAAGATTTGTAACTCACAAAAAGGGCTGGGGATGTAGCTTTAGTGGTAGGGTATCCTGGGGTCCATTCCTAGTACTTCAAAAGAAAAAAAATTTGAAAAATACAGTAATCATAAGGCCCAGCAACTTCACTATGTATATACCTAGAAGAATTAAAAATAGGAGCAAGGTGCAGTGGTGAACACCTGTAACCCCAACACTTAGGAATCTAAGGGAAGAGGATCAATGGGAGTTTGAGGCAGTGTGGGCTAGGCAGTGAGTTCAAGGCCAGCCTGAACTACGTGGTGATACCCTCTCTCCAAAATCCAAAAAAGAGCTGAAATTAAGGACTCAAAAATATTCGTATACATATATTCATAGCAGAATTATTCACAATGGCCACGAGACGGAAGCAACCTAAATAGCCACTAAAGGATGAATAGATACACCAAATATGGGGCGTTTCCCCCTCCATAAAACTCAACCAGAAAATAATCAGTCTTGAAAGCCAGACATCAAAAATGCCAGCTCCAGTCACCTTGCCTTACTGGCCATTACAGAGTAGCCACCAATAAGAGGAGAGTGAGGTACAATCTGCAGTGCTTAATTAACAATGGCCAGGTGTTATTTTCAGGGAAACAAGGTCCATACCCGGGAAAACTATTCAGGCTTAAAGGAAGGAAATCCTGCCACTTCCTACAACGTGGAGGAACCTTAAGGATGCTGCACTCAGTGAAATAAGCCAGTTACAAAAGGGCAATATTGTATGATTCCACTTATATGAAATACTTAGGGTGGTCAAATTCACAGATGAAAGTAGCAAAGTGACTGTCCACAGCTTCAAAAAGGTAGAAGCAGGCAGGAGTTAGTTAATGGCTATAGAGAGTCATTCTGCAAGATGCAAGGAGCTCTAAAGCATATGTGGGAACACATGCTTATCATCCAGAAGTTAGGGAAACTGAGGCAGGATGATTGCAAGTGGGCTCTTAATATTAGTTTGCTCTGGTAGAAAAGCTAAAAAAAGTATAAAAGGAAAAAAAGAGAAAAAAAATGGCCCTTCTTGGGCCATTTTTATTTTATTTTATGTTTTTAAAACAGGGTCTTGCTATGCTGTTCATGCCGGCCTTGAGCTCATTTTGTAGCCCAGGCTGGTCTTGAACTTACTATGATTCACCTGCTTCAACCTCCCAAGTGCTGGGATTATAGGCATGAGCCACACACCAGCTCTTTCCTGGGTAATTTAGCAAGACTCTATTTAAAAAAACTTTTTTTTTTAAAAAGGGCTGGAGGTGTAGCTCATGCTAAAGTAAAGTACCACTGAATACTATAAAAACAACAGCATCATCAACAACAAAGCGCTTTGGAGATTATATAATAATATGAATGAGCTTAATACTAATGAATGGTATACATTAAAATGGTTCCAATGGTAAACTTTATGCATATTTTATTACAATTAAAATTTTATTGAGTTGGAGCCAGGTACGGTAGTACATGCATATAATCTCAGCACTTGGGAGGCTAAGACGGGAGGATTTCAAGGTCAGCCTGGTATACATAATGAATTCAAGGCCAATCTGAACTACATAGAAAGATTCTGTCAAAAAATGATTAAGTGAATAAATCATAAATTAAAAATTTTGTTGGGTTGGGGGTGTAGCTCAGTGGTAGTATATGGCTTTATATGCATGAAGATCTGGGTTCCATCCCCAGTGTAATGAAAAAGAACTTTTAAAAATGGCACCCACCCTTCTCTGCATCCTCTGCCCTGTACCAGTTGGAGCTAGGGATTCAACCCAGTGTCTTCCTCCTGCTAAGTATGTGCCCTATCATAGAGCTACAACCTCAGCCTAAACACATTTGTGTTTTTTTTTTTTTTAATGAAAGTATAGTGGACATGGTGGTATGTGCCTGTAATCCCAACACTCTGGGAGGCTGAGGCAGGACGATTACAAATTTGAGCCCAACCTGTGCCATTTAGAAACTGCAAAACCGTGTCTCAAAATGCAAAATAAAAAGGTTTGAGGATGTAGCTTGTTTCAAAAGCCTGGGTTCAACTGGGTTCAATCCCTGCTACCTACAGAGACAGAGACAGAGACAGAGACAGAGAGAAATGGGGCCACAGGGTTAAGAAAAATTCTCCCTTTTCTCTTATAATAAGAAATTGTTCTTATATAATTCATAAAGTAGATCTTATTAACATAATTTTAAATTGCAAGGCTTTTCAAATCACCTAATTGTAATTGACATCTAGTGCGGATGGGAAAATAGGCAGTGGACGGGGTAAGTGACCATGAGACTTACTGGTGGCAGGATCTTGGGCACAGGGCCCAATTACAGGGGTGAGGAAGGAGGAAAGAAAGAAGAGACGCAAAGGAGAGTGAGATGCCAGTCCTCCAGGGCTTTCTGAGTGGGCCTGGGAGAGGAGGTAAGAACAATACATGGAAAGAGATGGAGCGATGAATGGCAGGAGGACACACAGAGAAGACATGTGCCCACACATGCAGACAGAGAAAGAGACCCCACTGAGCTGCCCAGGTATACTTGGCCCCAGAGGGACCAGTGAGGACACCACCACCATCCCAGAGGGAGCCCTGCAGCCTCCCTCAACCTTCCCCACCTGTGCCATCTTCAGCAGGAAGGCATCCACAAGATCTCGCGCAGGTCCTGAGGTGTCCAGGTTGCCCTGGTGCTGCTGCACCTGCTGGGAAGTGAAGGTGGCCAGAGTGTCCAAGTAGCGGAGGAGTTGTGTGTTAGGACCTGGCAGTAGCTTCAGGATCCAGGAGAACATCTCGTAGATCTGCAGGAGAAAACATCACTGGTTTTCAAGGGATTTGGAAGGAACTTTTGAGGAAGGTGGCCAGAGAGGGGTCCCATCCATTTACCTGGCCGTATGTGGAACTGATCCCCAGCAAAGTACCGCCAGCTGCCTGGATCACAGCCTGAAACTCCTTATCCTCGTAGGAGAAGCGGAGGTCAAAGAGAAGTAAGCAGACAATGTTGGAGGTGGCCTGGGCCAACAGCAGGGAGGGATCAAATGGGTGTCCTGCAGGCCGGGGAAGGAGGGAGAAGGTTGTGGGGATGCAGAGGGAAGCCAGCATGAAGCAAACACAGGGACAGAGTGGACAGTGGACCTAACCAGAGAGAAAGGTGTCTGTCCATATCCACAGAGACATGGATGGATGGTTAGTAGACCGACAGGGAGAGACACATGGACGGAGTAACAGGGATACAGATAGAAACAGACAGGCAGGAAGAAAGATAGAGGCAGGCAGGGAGATGAGAGGGACAGATGAGATCAAACAGAAAAAAGGAGGGAAAGAAAAAAAGAAAGAATCCTGGCACTTGGAAGGCTGAGGCAGGAGGATCATTGCAAGTTCAAGACCAGTCTGGGCTACAAAGCGAGCTCAAGATCAGCCTGAACTGCATAGTGAGACCTTGTCTCAAACACACACACACACACACACACACACACACACACACACACACACACAAATAAGCTGAAAGAAACGGGCATGGTAGTACACAGCTGTAATTCTGGCACTCCCTGGGAAACTGTGGTAGGAGAATCACAAATGCAAGTGCAACGTGAGCAAATTAGTGACTTAGAGAGACCCTGTCTTGAAATAAAATATACAAAAAGTCTGAGGATGTATCTCAGGACCAAGGCCCTAATTCAATTTCTACTACTACAAAATAAAACAAAACAGGCTGAGAGATATGGATGACAGGACCAAGACAGAGACAGAGACAGAGCGTGGAGGGGAACAGAGCCCCCCCCCCCCAGCCCCAGGGCCCAAGGTTTTTGCCCTGCACTTTCCCTGGGCTGGGCTGGACCCCTCCCCCCAGGCACAGTGTGCTGGCCCCGCCCCGCTGACCTTCTGTCCTCTGCAACGCCTCCACCAGATGCTGGACTTCCGCCTGGATCAGCTCCTCGCCTTCTGGCTTCCCCATGCCCAGGTCCCGCAGAGCCTGCATGGTGAATTTCCTCAGCTGCCTCCACCGCTCCCCGTTGGCAAAGAAAACTCCTGCACAGAAAGCCAGGTTCAAGGAGGGACAGACCGGTCCTTCCCTCCTAATGAGGTGCCCTGGCACCGTGTCCTCAGTCCATACCTGCCTGGCCCAGGGAAGAGGACTTCCCAGGTGCTCAATAAGTACAGAATTGAATGTGTTCCTCTGTCCTTTGGCTTTGGATGAGAGAGGATGTTTTCCTGAGCATGAGATACTTCATGGCTCATGCTCAGTGATTAATCAGGATGGGTGAAGATTCATTCCTTTCTCCACCCATCTGCCATTTAATCCCTCTTTTCTTTTCATCTGCCTACCTCAGCATTTATGGAGCACAACTGCCTCATAGTTGGAAGTACAAACAGAGAAGAGGGTGAAAGTACAGCTTTCCTTCTTTATCTGAGACACCTGCTCCCGACAGACCTTTCCCTTTTCTGAACTCTTTATTTCCACCTGTTGAATAAAAGTCTGCAGTAGCCCTTGGACATTTCCCGCTGGGTCCCCATCTCAGTCCACTATCCATCTCCTGGCCCCTGGTCCTATTCCTATCTCCCCACCCCCGGGGAACTTGTACATACCCAACTGGTCCCCTTTCTGGGGTATCAGCATTCAGTTTTGTCCCCTAAATAACACGCAGAGGATCTTTCCAACTCTGCCTATTGCCCTATCCTGCTTAAAATCCACAGTTACATCTGGGTGTGGTAGCCCACTCCTACATCCCAGCTCCTAAGAGCTTGAGATAGGAGGATCGAAAGTGACTGCAATTTAGTGACTTAGTGGAGCCCTGTCTCAAATTAAAAAATAATGGAGGGTATAGTGATACAGTTCAGTGCAAAGGCCCTGGGTTCAATCTTCAGTATGACCTCATCCCTAACAAACGAACAAACAAAGGCTCCTAAGATAACCAAAACCCAAGCTCTGTGGTTTAACTCACAGGTCCTGGGTGACCAGGGGCCTGTTGACGTCTTGGCTTTATTGCTCAACTGCTACAACTGCAGCAGCTTCCTCTCACTTCCTCAAAGGTATCATGATCCTCCCCCCTTGCCTGTGTCCCTGCTGTCCTCGTGCCTGCATTACTCATGAGCCCCCATCCTTGATGAACTAACTCCACACAGCCTTCATGTCTCAGCTCAAACAGCCTCCCCTTCCGAGAAGCCTTCCCTGATCCCCTTCACCACCAGGATAGGCCCCCTATGTCCAGCTGTCATTGTAGAATTCTACTCCCTCCCTCTGCTGTGTTAACTACAAGGCTCCTAAATGTGTCTTCTCTTACCCTCTTGCTTTTGTACACACTGCTCTTTGTGCTGGAAATACCCTTGCCAGTCATCCCGAGTCTCCACTCAGACATCATCACTTTCAGGCAGATTTCCTAGATGTTTCGCACCAAACAAGCTGGTCAGGAGTGTCCATATAGTTGCAGGGACTTCCCCATGCCAGCCTGTATCTCCCTGTTCCGGTGGACTGCTCTGCACTGTCACTATCTGGTGCAGGTCTAGTTTCCCTGGAGCCTGGGTACCCCAGAGGAGCAGGATGGGCTGGCTTTGTCACTGGGCCGAGAAAGCCAAGAGCTGCTGCTTTTTGTGTCCACTGGAGGATATCTGCGCTTTTGAGATGCTTGCTTATAGGTTCCCCAAGCCTTGCTTCACCTGGATCAGTGATTGTTACCACTGATAAAGCCTGGCAATTAGCATGTGCACACAGGTCCCACCCTCATTCTGTCTTTACTACAGCCCTATGTGATAGGCCTAAGACTTAGCCAGGTTTATAGACAAGGAAGCAGGATCACTAAGCCACGTGTGAAAGTGCCAGCAGGAGACAATAGTTTCCGCCTCCTCTCATGACTTACCGTGACAGTTAAAAATCTGGTCCAGTGTAGCCAAGGTTCCTCGCCCACTGAATTCTTCAGCCTGATCTCCCAAGGCCTCGCGCACAGCCTCATGCCCAACCAGGACCACCACGCGCCGCCAGGGGCCCAGGTGCACTGTGAACACCGGTCCATACTTCTTACTCAGCTGTGGGCAGGGAGGGAGACCAGAAGCTGCTGTGGGGCTGGGAGCTGCCCCTGGCTCCGGATGAGCTTACTGATCTGGCTGCTTCCTCTTCTACCAGAACCCTGTCTCTTCCCCTTAAGCAGAAATAGACCCCATGACTGCTGCTGGACTTGACATCCTCCTTCCTCAGCCTGGCACAGTGCTGGGATCACAGAGGCCAGCCACACCTGGCCGTGGAATAAACCTCTCCGGAGGCTCAGTTCTTTTTGCACCAGGCTCCCCAAACTTGCTTTCCAGTTTCCATCCAAGATCTTCTGGCCAGGCCCTAACCGCTTGTCCCAGGACAATCCACAACCAACTTTGATCTCATTATTCATTATTCCCCTTCCTCCCAAATCCAGGTCCCTCCCCAATCACTGCTAAAACCCTCAAATTCTAGAGCAGATACTGCTGAGCACCTGTGTCCTCTCTCCCCAAGACAGCACCCATTCCTATGTCCTTAAGAAGTCTCTCAGAGGCTGGGGATTTAGCTCAGTGATGTAAGCACCTGCCTAGCAAGTGCAAGGTCATAAATTCGATCTGGGGAACAAAAAGTCTCTCAGAATCTTTTAAAATGGGGACCCACTTTACACCCCCGTGCTGATTGGGAGGATTCCTCATCCTTCCAGGAAAGCCCAGATTCCTTCCAGCTGTACTACACCCACCCTCTGACGGCCAGCCTGAGCTACCTACCCCTGTGAGAACCTGCAAACCTCCACCCTTTTCTCAGGCCCCACTGCCCCCAGCATCCCCACGCCTTTCTCCTGTGTCCCCTCCCTGTGGGTCAAGTCAAGCCCACTAAAATCCAGTGAATCATGCCCTTGACGGTTCCTGTTTCTCAGCCACTTTGCCAGCACTGAGGACCCCTCCGGATGCCACCCCTGACCCTCTAGACCCTGCTTCCTGCTCTCACCACTTCTCCAGGATGTTTCAATTTCTGCTTCTCTGGAGTCCCGGCCCCCCAGTCCGAGATCCTTTCTCCAGCGCCTCCCTTGCCTTCTCAGCCAGGACAATCTGCTCTTGGCCCCAGCCCTGGGCACTGTAGTCCTTCTACCTGGGGACCCTGCCCCACCTCCTTCCTAGGGTGTCCGAGGGGCCCTCTGCCCAGGCACTCGGGCTCCTCTCCAGGGCACCCCTGCCGCTGGCCGGGACGCCCCGCGACTCCTCACCCGCAGCAGCCCGGAGTACAGCGCCCCGGGTCGCAGCTGCAGGAGGTTCCCCAGCAGCGGTAGCACCGCGGGCCCCGGGGGCAGGTGGCCGGGGGCCCGGCTCGCGGGTAGCGCCAGGCTCAGCAGGAGTAGCAGCAGGACGAGCAGCAGCGCCCAGGTGCCAGTGGCCTCCATCTCCGCAGGTCGGCGCCTTCCGCCCGGGCTCACGCTCCCGGCGGGGGGCGGGTTAAGGGCGAGCGCCGGGCGCCTCCCTCCCGGGAGAAATCGGGCAGAGGGGCGGGGCAGTCCGATCCCCTGGCTTACAGGCGGGGTGCTCCGGCTCTGCCGTGCGGCGGCCTGGGGTCGGGACTCACGCACCAACGGGTCTGCAGGGCACCTGTGCTTTTCCCCGGGCTCGGGGCTGGGTTGGGGTGAGGGGCGGAGACAGCGCCTGGGGCCCCAGGTAGGGCGTCAGCAAACAGGATCGACCTGGGAGCGGGGACTTGCGCAGCCGGCAGCCGCCACACCTCGGCCGGGCGGTGACCCCGCACCCCGCCTCGCTTCGCTCCCTCCTCTGTTAACGGGGTGTGCGTGCGTGCGCGTGGGCATGTGCGGACTCTTTGAGGCAGTCTCCTCGCGCATCTTATCTCCGTGAACTAGGAGGAGGAACTTGGCCTTTAAGAACAAGGAATCTAAGTCCAGGGGTAAATTGGTAACCCTCCCTACGTCACGGGGCGCAGCGGCAGAGCTAGGGTTTGGACCTCGGCCAGTCTGATGAATACATTCTTCACTCAGTCATTTAGAGGCAGCTTGCGCATTGATTAGGTACCGGAGGAGTGAAGCCTGACTACTGCAGTTCACAGTTTGTCTTTCCTGAACCCGTTTAACAGTCTTGTGCAACGGTACTAGTTTGCAGGATTAGAAAGGTACATGTGTCCAGGTGTGGTGGTGCACACCTGTCATCCCAGCGCTCTGGGAGGCAACAGCTGGAGGACTCTAAATTCCAGTCCAGTTTATGCAATTTAAGAGTTAGAATCCGTTTCTAAATAAAACTTCAAAAGAGGCTGGGCATTTAGCTCAGTCCCCAGTACCACTCACACACCTGCCGTCACCTGCACACAATTTAAAACAGGGCCAGGTGCAGATGAAAGAAATTACTGAATGTTAGCTAATATTTCTACAACTGTTACTGAGGTCTAACTATAAACAAGACTTCTCTAGACCTATGGATGTGGTTATGAGCAATGGAGAGAAGAGCCCAGCTCTCTTTGAGCTCACAGCCACATGTAATTAGATAATTTCAGGAAGTATTAAGGCCTTCTGGGGGAATGGCCTTGTTGTGGAAGAAGGCAGCATGTCAGATCCACACAGGCAGGATTATTGTTGGTTTGGATCACTGCTGTATCCCTGGCATCTAGCGCCGTGTTTGACGCGCAGTAGGGTGCTTAGTTCGTATTTGACCCCTCAAAGAGTGTAAGTAGAAGATACAGTGAGGGAGGTCTGCAGGGGCTGTGTTTTATTACAAGAATTTACATTTTATTTTTAGTGCAAAGGCAACTCTTTGGAGGGAGTTTCCAGTAGGGTAGTCACTTACTTTGTTTTGTATTTTCAGTTAACTTTTTTTTTTGGTCTTTTTGAGACAGGATCTCACTATGCTGTCCTTGGGCTCACCCTGTAGCCCAGACTGGTCAAGAACTTGCAATGATCCACCTACCTTAGCCTCCTGAGTTCTGGGATTATAGGAGTGCACCACCATGCCCAGCTTTCAGTTAACATTTTAAAAAAACTTCTTATTTTATTGGTACATTTTAGATATACATATTGATGATATTCATCATAGGAAATTTGTACCTGTACATGATATATCCTGCTTCTCCTTTCTTTCCCTTTCCCCTCTCTTCAGCTCCTCTTCCTCTCCTTACTTATAAAAGTTTGGTTTTTATGTTTTCTTTCTATTCTCCTTCTTTTCCTTTCTCATGGCCGCCTCCCCTTCTTTCTCATATGAACATTTTCTTCCCATTACTCAGCATTAGAATATATTTTGGTCTTATTTACACTTTTGATTTCTCATACCAGTGAAGCAATGTGGTATTTATTTATATATGAGTGTCTAATTTATTTCACTTAAGAATATAATCTCAAGGTTTATCCATTTAGTTAGAAATGTCTCAAGCTCCCCCTTTATATGCCAGAGTAGTACTCCATTGTATAGAAAACCCCATATCTTCTTTATTCATTGATCATGATGAACATTTAGGGTGTTTTCAAGATTTAGCTATTGCAAACAGTACCACTCTAAGTGTGGTTCTACATATATTGCTGTGGTGCAATGCTTTTAATTCTTTCAAGAAGATACCAAGAAGGGGAATAGCTGGGTCAAATGGAACTTCCAGTCCTAGTGTTTCGAGGAATCTTCACACTGATTTTCACAATGGTTGCACCAGTCTACACTCCCACCAACAGGGGGAAAAATTTCTTTTTTTTCCCTGCTGCTCCACCATCATTTGTTATTGGTTGATTTCTTGATAATAGCCATTCTTTCTGGAGTGAGATGGAATCTCAGCATTGTTTCAGTTTGCATCTCTTGAAGATCAGTGATCTTGAACATTTTTTTTTATTTTAAAGAGAAAAAGAAAAATCAAGAAGCAAACAAACCCCACAAGCAACAGTTAAAAAAGCAAAATGATAACAACAACAAAAACAATAGCTATACAGGATTTTAAAACAAGATGATAGGGACTTAAAAATGGTTTTAATACCTCATATTGTTATATTCAAAATAGTTGCTCAGGTGCAGGAATAAAACAAAACAGTAAAAGAGAACAAAACATGGATTTCAAAAACAAGACAGAAGAAAATCCCTCACAGTTGTCACAATGCACACTACTGTCCTCCAAATAGATGCCCAGACCACCAGCTCTAGGCTTGCAAAGTCAATCGAACAATACAAGCATCAAGCTGTTGGCTTCACCTCAGTTGCTGTCATCCCACGGGATGGAGGGCATGCTCCTCTGGTTTCCCAATCAGACCCCCGCTGGCTGATGGGAAGGCGTGGTTTCTTTTCTTGCTGAGTCTCCTCCCAGTCCCCATGGTGGAGCCTGGTTCACTGGAAGCCCGATCTTGAACATTTTTTCATGTATTTATTTCACATTTCTACTTTTGCCTCTGAGAAGTCTTTTCACTTTAGATGCCTATTTTTGGATTGGTTTTTAAATTAGGGAGTCTTTTTAAAAAATTTTATTTATATATGCTAGGTATTGATTTTTTGAGGAACAGCTGGCAAAGTTTTTTATACACACTGTGGGTTGTCTTTTCATTCTATTGGTGGTTTCTCTTACTGTGCAAAATCTTTTTAATAAGATGAGGTCCCAGTTGTTGATTCTTCATGATAATTCTTGTGTAATAGGAGTTTTGTTCATGAAGTATTTGCCCACACTAATGTCTTCAAGAGTTCTACCTATTCTATTTTCTATCAGATTCAGTGTTTCTATTTAATATTTAGATCTTTCATCCATTTCCATTTTAGTTTAGTACCTAATGAAAGATACAGGTCTAATTTTAATCTTAGGCATGAAGAAAGCAAGTTTTCCCAGCACTACTTATTAAAGAGGCTACCTTTCTTCCAGCAAAGATATTTGGCTCCTTCTTCCAGATAAGGTGGCTTTTATACGCTAATTCAGACTGCTGGGTCTGGAGTTGTTTCTGTATCTTCTATTCTTTTCCATTGATCCTTAGGTCTGTAGGTTTTTTTTTTTTTTTGTGCCAGTACCATGCTGTTTTTATCACAGTTGCTTTTCAGTATAATTTCAAGTTAGGGTTTGTGATGACCCTTGCCTTGGCTTTGTTGCCTAGAATTGCTTTTACTATTCTAGCTCTCTCCTGGTTCAAAATGAATTTTAGGATTGTTTTCTTTAATTCTGTGAGGTATTGGTATTTTGATTAGAATTGTATTAAATTGATATAACAATTTTGAAAGTATGGCCATTTTCACTAATTTGGTTCTTTGTACCCAAGAACAAGGGATATTTCCATTTTCTGATATCCTCTTTGATCTCCTTTTTTAGAGGACTGCAGTTTTCAATGAAAACATCTTGTTTTGTTTTGGGTCTAGATGTCCACCCAAAGCCTCATGCACTTTTAGGTGGACCTTTTTCAGAGGTAGCTGAGTCTAGAGTGTGTGATTGGTGTTGGAATGCTGGAATTTAGGGTGAGTGATTGCTGGATTAGTCCACCAATTGCTTTGGAGCTGTCCCAAACCCAGAAGTTTGAATTATAGTATAAAAGCAGCAGAAAGATGCTGTTATGTTTCAGTTGTTGATTTTGCTGTCTTCTGCTATCATAAATGGTTGCTCTTCTGCCAAGTGCCACTCTGCCTTGGAATCAAGAAAATATGGACTGAAACCTCTACAAACTGTGAGCTAATTAAATTTTAAGCTTTGGGGGTTTTGTCTCATCAGTGAAAGAAAAGTAACTAACATAGGTCATTTACTTCCTTCATTAGATTGATTCCTAGGTATTTCATTTTCTTGGATGCTTTTGTGAATGAAAGGTGTTGTTTCCCTAATTTTTCTTTCAGTGAGTTTATTATTTGTGTACAGGAAGGCTATTGAGTTTTGACTGTTGACTTTGAATATGTGACTGAATTTTATTATGAAATCTAGAAGTCTTTTGGTGGAGTTTTGGGGGTCCTCTAAGTAGATATCATGTCATCTGCAAATAATGATAATTTAACATCTCCCTTTCCTATCCCTATTCTTTTTATTTCTTCCTCTTGTCTCGTGGCTCAGGCTAACGTTTCCAGAATTATACTGAACAAGAGTGGTATGAGTAGACATCCTTGTCTTGTTCTGAGTTTAGTGGGGAAAGTTTCAGTTTTGTCCATTTAGTATCATGCTGGCTATTGGTTTATTTTATGTGGCTTTTATCAAATTGAGATAAAAATAATCTATTCCAATTTTCTGTAAGGTTTAATCATGAATGAATGTTGGATTTTGTCAAATGGTTTTTCTGAATCTATTGAGATGATCATATGACTTTTATCCTTGTCTCTGTTAATGTGATATATTTTATGTATTGATTGGCAGATGTTGAACCACCCCTGTATCCCTGAGATGATCCTACTTGATCATGGAGTTTAATCTTCTTGATGATTCACTGCATTTGGTTTGCCAGTATCTTTGTTTGTTGGTTGGTTTTTTGAGACAAGGGTTCACTGTGTAGTCTAGCTTGGCATTGAACTCATGACAATCCTGCCATACGTCCTAAGTGTTGGGTTGCACCACCATGCCTAGCTTTGTTTGCCAGTGTCTTACCGAGGATTTTTGCATCCATGTTCATTAGGGAGATTGGGTTGTAGTTGTCTTTTATGGTTGGGTCATTCTCCTGGTTTGGTATCAGGATAATGGTGGGAATTTAGGGAATGAATTTGAGAATATTATTTCCCTTTCCATTTCATTAAAGAGTTTGAGGAGTGACATTAGAACTTGTCTAAAGTTGTTGTAGAATTCAGCAGTGAGTCTTCCAGGACCTGGGATTTTCTTTGTTGGTAGGTTTTTA